GCCGCAACAGCCGCAACAGCAACAGCAGAACATCATGCAGCAAAGAGCTCAGCAAAGGCCCGGCGTTGGGTTTCCATACAACGACGAACTTCAAACTCTTTCCGCTCAAGAATATGAGCAAGTTTGTCGAGTTGCAAGCCAAATCATTTCCAAAACTCCCCAAGAAGATTTGGAGAAGATCAAGTTGAATCTGCAGAATATGTCGCCAGAGCAGCGCCAATACCTATCAAAGAAGAATATGGATCCGTTGACTTACTTCTTCCGCTCGCAGGCTCTGACCCAGCTTAGACGGTTCAGGCGAAACCGAATGGAGATGGCTCGTGCTCAGGGTAATGGGGTCGACCCTAACGGGGCTGCAATGCTGGCAGAATCGATGAACCCACAGCAGCGACAAATGTTAACGAACATGATGAACCTACAACGCAACTCCGCATACCCCATGGGAAATCAACAGAACCCGGAGCCATCGTTCATCGGTAGTGTCGACAACATTCAAGGGCAACAGGCAGATGGGTTGCGGTCTCAGGAAGCGGGCCAGCTTGTGGTGCCAGCTAGTTCCTTGCCGATTAATCAGACGGCATCGAATATGTTCCAGATGGGCCCTCAGCTCAATCAAAACGCACAATCCGGTATCAGCCCTCAATTTCTTGCGCAGCATCCACAAGGCGCACAGAATGTTTCGCAAGGTAGATCTCAACAAACATCGCAACTACAAAACGAGACCCAAGCCCAACAGGCAGCACGCGTTCAGGCAGCGCAAAGAGCGCAGATCGCAATGACTCAAAATGGACAAGCCGGGTCCCAGATGCAACACCAGATGACGCAACAAAGTCCCGCAATGTCCATGCTGAACCGTCCTATGGCACCCGGTCAAATGTCTCCCGCGCAGGTTGCTGCACAGGTTCGGCCTCCGTCTCGCGCTCCTGGCATGGGGCAGCAGCAGGCTAATGTCCAGTCCATGGGCGGACAGCCATCGATGCAACGGCCTCAAATACCACCCGGGCTGCCTCCACAACTTCAAGAGCAACTGAGCCAAATGAGCAATGAACAGTTGAATCTCTTCTTCCAGCAACGCCGGCTGGCGAACAACCAGGCTTTGTTACGGGCAAATCAACAACAGTCCATCCCGATTCAGCAAAACTTCCCACAGCAAGGCCAAGGCCAGCAGATGTTGCCCGGCCAAATTGGCAACGGGCAGAACATGCGAGCACCTCTCAATTTGCAACAGCACATTGCGAGCATGAACGGCCAGATGCTGCCTGGACAACAGATGTCGGTTCAGCAGCGACAACAACAGCAACAGCAACAGCGCCAACATGACATGTACAAGTTGCAGCTTCTTCGCCAACATGGCGGAGGCATCGAAATGTCCCCTGACCAAGTCAAGGAAATGGACCGCTTGCATTTCCCCCCAGCGATCTTGAACAACAACCCGAACATCTCGTCGCCTGTCCCGAAACATATTAAGACATGGGGTCAACTGAAACAACTGGCGGCTTCGAATCCACAACTACTTGGAGGCGTAGACATACAAAAGTTAATGGCTTTGCAGAAACTGCATCTTGCCCAGATTCTTGCCCAATCGAAAGAAGGCGGCCGTAGCGCGGAACAGAACGGCCAAGGCCCTTGGATGCCAACACAATTCCAGGGACAATCGCAGCCCTTCATGAATAATCAATTCGCATCCGGCCAGCAGCAACCATCCATCAATATGCCTGCCATGCGTCCGATCACTCCACAAGATATTCAGCTGGCCAGGCAGCGCCTTGGTCCACAAGTTCAGAGTCTGAGTGACGAACAGCTCCGTGATCTGCTTCACCGGAACAGACAGAAGCAGATACAAGCAGCGCAAGCTCGTGCCTTGGCTGCTCAACAGGGTCAACAGGGTCAACAGCCTCAGACAACTTCGCAGCCTCCTGTCACTGTTCCTCCAACAGTTCCTCAAGTCAAGCTAGAGTCCCAAGCTCCACAGTCTACATCGCAGCAGGGTCCGCAAAATGGGACGGCAAAGGCTCAGGCTACAGTTGCTGGAAAAGGAAACAAAGCGTCCGTCACTAAGCAGGCACCCAAGAGGAAGCTTCCAAATGAGGAGCCCACGGAAGCTCAAACCACGCCCATACAAAAGTCGACTCAACCTGTCGCTTCACAAGGAGGACCCGTCCCCGTTCCCAACAGGCCCAACATGTTCTTCACCCGCGAACAGCTGGCGGCTATGACGCCTCAGCAACGTGCTCAGCTGGAGCTACATTTGCGGAGGCAACAAGCACAAGGCCGTGGATCCATCAGTAGGACTTCCGCTGAAGATGCATGGAACAACCTACCCGAAAGGATCCGAATGACGTACGACGAAATCGCTAAGACTGCGCCGCCTGCTGAGCCTGTTACAATCACACCGGAGCAGAAGGCAAGCATGTCTCAGCAGCTGCGTGACTCGACAGACTATTTGGGAAGGATGGATGCGCTCGTTCAATTTATAGCGAAGATACCCGGCCAGGAGCGGAATGTCCGCAGTTTACTTGCGATGGTAAGTCTTCGTCTCCTTTTGACCCGCGTCTGCATTTAGCTAATGGCCTCTACAGCGGATACAATTGATGAGACAATTCAAAACCGGAGCTGATTGGGCACTTGCTGACCAGTACACGATCACGCCCGAGTATCTCGCAGGAACCACTAACTATATCAAAAAGCTGTTCCATCATATGATCGCTCGAGTGAACCAGCAACAAAGCCAGGTACCTGGTCAGCGACCCAGTGCCCCACAGGGTGCATCTATGCCACCGGCCAGCATCCCAAACAACATGCCCGCTCTGAACGCGACGAACTTGCACCAATTACAGCAACAGGAAGAGGCTCTTCAACGTGCTCGTCGTGCCTCCAGCCAAACCGCATCGGGACCTTCCGGCATTCCGCAGGCGCCTTTCGGCGCGCCATCGCCTCAGGGTGTTCCACACGCCTATGGACCCGGTAGTATACCTCCCGAGCAGTTGAAGCTGCCCCCTCCGAAGAAGCGAAAGCAGTCTCATGCCGGTGCTACCCCCGTGCTTGGAACTTCCGTGCCCAAGGCTCAACCAAACAAGCAAACAGGCGCAGAGGTGAAGCTGGCTGGTGCAGCTTTCAGCGGCGCTTTCAAGTGCAGTGTCCCCGAATGTCAGAACCATTATCATGGTTTTGCCACTCAGAGCGCGCTAGACAGTCACGTCGAAGAATGCCACAAGATCGAAGAGCCAATCGAAAATCCGCTGGAGTTTGCCCTGGAGAGTTTCCGTACCAACCTTGTCAAAGAGGAAGACCAAGGAGGATTACAAAGCAGTAAGGACACCTCACAGGCCCCTGGCAAGCTTGGCCCAGCATCATCTCCAGCGAAACACGATACCAAGCTTGGAGGTACGCCAGTTCCTGGGGGTGCGACTCCCATGGGCCATGCTCCCAGTCAATTGGGACCAAAGCCTAGTTCCCCGGCCTCGAATCTGCAACTAACTCCTCGTACTTCTTCAGCCAAAGTGCCTACGTCATCTCCTCTCAAGCCGACAAACAGCAAGGACGATAAGAAAGAAGCGACCAAGCCCCTGGAACACGCACCACCGTCAATGGACGTGATGACGGCCGACCCATGGGCAAACAGTGCCATTTCCCTCGAAACGATCCAGGACACATTCTTGGATCTCGGGGATGATGTGGGCCTGGGCTTTGGAGCGATGGACGAGTTCCTCAACCCCGAAATGTTTACCAATTCACAATCCGAGGACACTCCGGATTCAATCGAGACCGGTCTTATCACCCAGACCCCTAAGGACAACGAGCTACCAAAGAGTGTCGAGGTCAACGGCAAGACCGGAGAAATGACGGATGAGAACTGGATACCGGTGGATTGGATCAACCTCCCGGGCCGATTTGAGGACGGTCTTCTGATGAACGACTCATGGGACGACATTGATTGGGAGATGATTGATCGCAAAGACACGGGCATGAATGTTGACGACAGTGGAATTGCCATCATTGCCATGTGATCTAGTCCATGTTTTTCTGTTATCTCATGAGCGCTGTTTATGATTTTTGAGCTGGTGAATGGCGTGGTGGATTCTATGTTTCTGCTGGCATAATTGATTGCAGGCCGGATGTATATTAACCGGGGGACACAGGAGTGATTGCCTGGGTCTTCATTCTACACTTTGCTATCATTTCATTCTTAGCCAAGGCGTTGCAAGGAGCAAAAGGGGGGAAAAGAAGAGCCTCTTTTTTTTTTTTTTTTTTGTGGCCCTGGCAGACAGCGAAGTGTCTTTTGAGTTTGGGGGTTCATGAGATTAGCAGCATTTCTAAGGCTATTACAATCATTGGATACGACCTCGAGTTGGAACAGTCTTTAAGAGCTTCCACACTTCTGTAGATATAGATGTCTGTATATATAGATAATAGAGAAAGATCCATTGAACAAGCCAGGATTTGAATTCGTGATGTGAATAAGGATCTTGTGTAGTAGCGTGGATACAACCGATACAATGGATAACTAAGCGGAGAGAGGATGATTTAGTAAGGATCCCGTGATGGCTGGCTTGTTCCCCACTCACTGCATTTGAGATCAGCTGCCGTTCCGATAAGCTAACTTTAGGTCGATCCACCGTCATTTGCCTTTCTCCTCCTCAGCCTCCTCCTCCGCTTCTCCTCCGCCTCCTCCTCCCATCATCCATCCAACTTGCTACTTCCCCCCCGTCTTTGTTCCGTATCATTCTCCACCACCAACAACCAACCACCTTCCTCAAACCCCATCTTCTTCCATGATGGGTTATCAATAGAATAGATTTATCCCACTTTCTTCTCTCTGTTCTCTATCGCAGCATATGCGACTGGCCTCTTGCGCTCCTTGGCCGGGTTCCTCTATCGCGCTTCCTTGGATAAACATCAAACCATCCCCTCCATAAATCGGACCCGCTCTCTGCGAGCTTTATCTGTATACATCACAAAGCTCGATCTCATTTGTTGTTAGCTTCCAACAAATAGCAATCATGGCGAGCAAAGCCACCGTCCCCTTCCTGGTCACGATGATGCTCGTGACTGGGGTTTGCAATACAATCCTCAACAAGTATCAGGTTTGACGCTCCACTGATTGTCTTGCCTTTTCGAACATGACTGACAATGGCTGCTGATAGGATATGCAATGTGTTCGCAATTGTGACTCTCCGGACCCCAAGTATCGTCACACCTTCGAGCAACCGGTGATCCAGACGTATGCTATCTCCCCCCTCGCTCTTTCTTTCTTTGCCAATTAGTTATACAATGCTTATATCGTCTCAATAATGATAGCATCCAGATGTTCATCGGCGAGATGGGCAGCTGGCTTGTCGTATTATTTTCATATCTCTACCAGCGCTACATCGCTCCTCGCTTGTCTAGCAACTCCTCCCCTCTGCTGGCGGGCGGTTATCATCCCGTCCACAATGATGATGGGCTTGACGAAGAAGAGGAAGACTACACGATTCGGGGCCCCGAATATCTTCGTGATTCCACCAAGCCCGATGAAACACCTGATGGGCGCATTCGTCTCCAAGGATGGAGGATCTTCCTCCTTGCAGCACCGGCTTGCTGTGACATCGCGGGTACTACTTTGATGAACGTCGGGCTGCTGTTCGTCGCCGCTAGTATTTACCAAATGACCCGGGGAGCCCTCGTCCTCTTTGTTGGTCTCTTCAGTGTGATCTTTCTCCACCGCAAACTTCACATCTACCACTGGGCTGCACTTTTTGTGGTCGTTCTTGGCGTTGCGCTGGTTGGCCTTGCCGGCGCCCTGTTCAGCCAGGGCCATGAATCTGTCCCGGAGAATGCAGCAGCGGCCATTACACATGCTCTTCGAGAAGTGCAGACCACTGCACGAACTCCAGAAGCCGTGCAAACACTGATCGGTGTTCTTCTCATTGCCGCAGCGCAGATCTTCACCGCTTCACAGTTCGTGCTCGAGGAATGGATCCTGGAACATTACGCCATGGACCCTCTTCAGGTTGTTGGCTGGGAGGGTATCTTTGGGTTCAGTGTGACTGTCATCGGCTCGATCATCATGTACCTGGCTGTCGGACGGACCGAGGCAGGTCGCTATGGCTACTTTGACGCAAAGGAAGGCTGGCGCCAAATTCTCCACAACCGGCCAATCGCCATCTCCAGCTTCCTGATCATGATCAGCATTGGGTAAGTTATCATGACTAAACAATCTCGATCTTGTTGATACTAAGTTTTTCTGCTCCAGCGGCTTCAATTTCTTTGGGCTTTCCGTTACTCACACCGTTTCGGCTACATCGCGTAGTACTATCGACACGTGCCGCACCCTTTTCATTTGGCTTGTCTCTCTAGCCTTGGGCTGGGAAACTTTCAAATGGCTCCAAGTGGCCGGCTTTGCTCTGCTCGTCTACGGAACCTTCCTTTTCAACGATATTATCCAGCCCCCGCTCAAGGCTTGTCTTCCTCGTGATCGCCGCGAAAGAGTTATTCTTCCCGAGGAGCCCATCGAGCATATCTAGAAGTGGGGACAGTGCACAAAACGCATAGTTGGACTCTGACCGTTTTGTCTCACAACATGATATCTCAATTTGGCTCCCTTGGCCTGGCTAAGACGGTGTTGATCGCCTTGTCTAGCTACAATCTGTTACTGTCGGGATTTTAGAGGTTATCGACTTGAATGGCTGGCCACTGTATTGGATTTGTTCACTTTACACGTGCCATTCGGGGATCGGCCAGGAAACCCGTCTCATTGTATCATTTTTGGAACGGCGGGTTTCCGATTGGCCGAGTGAGTATCTTTCCGTCGCGTTCCACCATCCCAGTTTTTGTCGGTTTTTGTTTTCCAGGCGTCATCATGGTCACGGAACCGAGTTTTTGCTTGTTGTTCGACTATTTGGCAAGATTTTGGTATAGACGATGGCGACATCGGTGCAGCAGAATGGAAATAAGATATCTTTCATGGTTGTTCAGTCTCTTCCGTTGGTTCTTTGTATTGCTTTCTAGCCGTTTTGGTAGAAATATATGCCAATGCTGCAAATGTGGCCTGGGCTCAGAGTTAACCCGATCGGGCGAATATATATCTTTGAGAGTCGTCCCTATAGCATATATGATCTATAACCCCCTCCTCTATCACGCTGTACTGGACAAAGATCCCTTATTCACGAATACCGTTCTCTAGATCCAGTCTTCTTTCTATATTCTCCCTCGGAACTCGGACTCTTAAAATGGGCATGAGCAGGCAAAAGCGGAAAGTTGGCATGTTGCATAAAATCAGCAGAATTGATGCTGTACAAGCACTGTAGATTGCATTGGGAAAGAAAGAATAAAGAAAAGTGGGGACGCGCTAAGAAGGAGTGGCTCAACTCATGCAGTGATGAAAAATATCAGGATATATATGAGGGATGATGATAACACACAGAAGAAGAGAAGTATGCTTCAAGAATTGATGATAGAGTATGGTATATGTGGTTGGTCGCAGGGGTGTGGGGGCGATGGTAATAGCGCCAACCCTAGCTTTGTAGATGGTATGTATATATGAACGGGGCGAGTAAGATTGTCTATCTGAGTGTCTGTTGGTTCGTGTGGGATGGCATAAGTTCAGACGAGAACGTAGAGTGCGCACATCTGGACGGGAGGTTAAGTATCAGTCGAGGGTCTGGGGACACCAACATTAAGTGGTAGTACTCACCATGGATAACCCGAGAATCATCGATAGCCAGAAGAAGGCGTTCTGATGGAGGAAGAGATTAGTCTTAGTTCCATGCTTTCTATAGTCGGGAGTGGTTTGAATTATCATGGATGCACGTACGTTGAGAATGGTCTTCCCCTTTATGTACTTGGACTGCTGGACCGCAACGATGGGCAGCTGGAGCATCATGGCGAGGAAGCCGTAGCCACGAAGCTTCTTAGTGATACAGCTCATGACCAGTTCGTGAGCGATGGCGCTGACGAGGAAGGTGATGAACATGGCGACTGGTTTGGAGAAGTGGGAGAGAGAGGGGAAGTAGACATGGCGCCGGAGAAAGTGGTGTACGGGGATGTTCCATTCTCTGGAGAATTCCAACCTGAATAAGATAGAAACGTTTTCATCAGCTCATGTCAACCCACATCATTAGTAGCCTCCATAAAAGCCACCAAAGGTGTCCGTGTGCAGCAGACGTACCAATCACATGAGTTCCACCAATCCGAGTAGAAATGACGGTCGGCAAAACAAGTTAGCTCTGCGAAAGCGCCCAGCACATATTCAAAGATGACGAGAAAGACAAGCAGGAAGGTGATCAGGAAAGGAAAGAGAAGCATGCTAATGGTCTCCGCCATGATCAGGGCCTTTTCGGCCATGCTTGACACGGTGTGGAGCTGGATGTTGGCCTCGCTCAAGACAGGTACAATGAACTCCTCGCTGGTCAACGTCAGAAGGAAGATGCATCCGAAGATCGCGAGGGTTTTCAGGCCGATCTCGATCCAATCCCGGTCACTGTTCCGAGGGTATTCCAACTCGTAGCACAAAGTGGGACAGAAGATGAAATCCACATAGTTGGTGACCGTCAGGTTCTGAGGATATGTCACATTGCCCATCGGCGAGGTCAGCTCCGTGGCTAGGTCCTCGCGCAACTCGGCTATCGATTCAGATCGTGCGTGTTGACTATGGCGCCGGGTGGCAGCGTGCCGACGAGGGGAGGCATCCGGATACGGCACCGGAGCTTCCAAGGACACAGAGCCGGGCTTATCAAGCGAGGACAAACGACGCTCAGTCTCGCTGAGATGACCATTGTAAAAGGCATATGAGTGTACTTTCATCAGGATAGTCAACGTATGGAGGGTGAAGAACACTTGCGCTGTCCAGGTCCAGCGCATCATAAAGGGCCAACTGCACCTCATGGTTAGCTCAAGGAATCACGACCCCGGGAATAGTATAGCTGTCGCAACCTACTTGATCCATAAGCAGGCCCAGGCCGCTTCGAAGATACTTTGCATGGCCATGCCTCCTCCTTTCCAGCGCCAAACACCACCACGAGCCCTGATTATGCGATGGAGGGGTAGCACCGCAGCGCTACTCACGACCATAGCCAGGTCGCTGACGCCCATGGACCACACGTTTGCCGACAACAGATTCCAAACTCTCACTCTGAAAGGGGACCCAGTATCCTTGATATTGCGAAGCGCTGTGGTAACCACCATGATAAACAATGCGATCCAAAACAAGGTATAGAAACCGCGAAAATTGCGGTAGTCGCTTCTCGGGTCGAAATGGGACACTCGGGGCACATAGTCGATGGTATAGAAGATTCGTGTGCGTGCTCGAGCTTGTTTCCTGGCGGTGGAAATCGAATGGAGGGAAGGCGGGGCATCTTCAGGGATAGGTGTCGAATGGCCGCTAAAAAGTAAAGATAATCAGCCTCCGAATTTGTTGGCGACTCTTCGAGTTGGTCGCTCGCTGCCTACCTTGACTCTAAGCTTTCCAAAGGAGGAACCGACGTAGGATCCGTCGTCGACTTCTTCATGGCCGGGATGACACGCGGCCGTAATAACGGGGAGCCATCCACTTGTTGAATGGCAGAAGACATGTTGGTCTAATCGGATAAGGGGATGGAGGAAAGGGGAAACAAGACAGTGTCACATCGAACCAAGCGAAGAATGAATGGCAAAAGGGGAATAATGCAATTGATATATGAGACAATGCTATACGTAAGTTGATCTGTTCTTTTTGCCACGCATGCAACGGGGCATGCGACGAGTAGAGAAATCCAGAAGGGGGAGGGGGGAGGGGATATGATGCGGTCTCCTATGTGGATCCTATACTTCGAGCACAGTCAGACAGAGACACACACACACCTTAAATCTGGCTCGTGCAGGGACCAACCGACCAAAACGAATACGAAAGGTATTCCAGGGGTTAAGTATAGAAAGGCCGGCCATTGAGGCGCGGATCTGGAGTATGTTTTAAAGCCTTAAAAGCCTTTTGGGAGGCGGAAGGGCGATCATCAGCATGTACCTCCTGCAGTAGATTGTACTGTAGATGACTAGCGCAGCATTTTGGAAATTTGATTAATGTCATACCTCAAGCGGCTGCAGGGGGAAAGACTCGGAGGAAACGGTACTGTTGCGAGAGTGTTCAAGGTTGGATTGCAAGGACGTCATCGGAAGCGCGGTTGGACCGAGTCTCCGCATCTTCCGTGCAGTTCGGGGTTGTTTTTGTGCCTGTCCGAGTGGACGAGTGAACGAGTGAACGAGTGAAGTTATGACCGATGATGTAAGGATCTGCCTGTACAATAAGTTACTAAGTACTGTACTAAAGTACGTAATACGAGTACGCAGTGAGGCAGAAATACTATGGCCTGATAAACAAGGCTTTTAAAGCTCATGGCACGTGATAGCAGGTGGGAAAGAGGCACGAGGAACGCTAGACCCAAAATAGACGGGGAGTGCCAAGGCGGCCAAGTCGCAGGAGCGGGCGAGGCTCAACCGCTCAACCCAGCTGGAAACTGTCTTGAACCACCTGGTCTGCTGGCCCGATCTTTATCAGTTATTGTTGCTACAATCTCCAGTTTCACTGTCTCCCCCCACCAGGATCATCTCCATTCTCCTCTTTCCTCACCCCTCTTGGGATTGCGCAGACTGGCTTCTTCGCTCTTTCCCTCACCCTCTCCGGTTCTCTTTTGTCCAGGCGACCTCCCCCCGCCTTTCTATTGCATTTCCCCGTAAGGGGTCCTTGTGCCCGCCATGGCATCCCGTATGTGAAGGAACCCCCCCCCTCCATCGACAACCCTACCTTGTTGTCTGGCCCACGCTTTGACTCATCAGTCACTAACAACCTATTCCTTGTCGCCCTGATATCATAGTTAAGCAATTCATTCGAAATGTCCGGTCGGCCAAGACAATCGCCGACGAACGAGCAGTGATCCAAAAGGAGAGTGCGGCCATCCGTGCATCCTTTAGAGAAGAGAGCCACGATTCAAACGTCCGGTCAGCAATGCAATCTTTCACTCCCTTCTTTGTCTCTAAGCAGGGTTCTTATACTCGTGGATAGGAGAAATAATGTGGCCAAGCTTCTGTATCTGTTTACCTTGGGTGAACGGACACACTTTGGCCAGATCGAGTGCCTGAAGCTGCTGGCTTCCCACCGCTTCGCAGACAAGCGGCTAGGATACCTGGGCACTATGCTATTGCTAGACGAGAACCAAGAAGTATTGACGCTGGTAACGAACTCTTTGAAGAAGTGAGTGACTATTCCAGTATTACCAGTGACCCCCTGCTGACGTCGTCTGGTAGTGACCTTAATCACTCCAACCAATATATCGTGGGCCTGGCACTTTGTGCCCTGGGAAACATCGCATCAGTCGAAATGTCTCGAGACCTTTTCCCCGAAGTCGAAGCCCTAATGTCCACCGCGAACCCTTATATTCGGCGAAAGGCAGCGCTGTGCGCCATGCGCGTTTGCCGCAAGGTTCCTGACCTACAGGAACATTTCCTAGAGAAAGCCAAGAATTTGCTGTCGGATCGGAACCACGGTGTTCTGCTATGTGGTTTGACCTTGGCAATTGATATGTGTGAGGCCGAAGAGGCCGAGGAGGGCCAAGAAGGAGTCATTGAGATGTTCAGGCCTCTCGCGGGTGGACTTGTGCGTGCTCTGAAAGGACTGACAAGCTCAGGATATGCTCCGGAACATGACGTCTCGGGTATCACGGATCCTTTCCTCCAGGTCAAGATCTTACGCTTGCTCAGGGTACTGGGGAGAGGCGATGCGGCAACGAGCGAGTCAATCAACGACATTCTGGCGCAGGTGGCTACCAACACCGATTCGACCAAAAATGTCGGTAATGCCATTCTCTACGAGGCTGTCCTCACTATTCTTGATATCGAGGCGGACTCAGGTCTCAGGGTGCTGGGTGTCAACATTCTCGGAAAGTTCCTTACAAACAAGGATAACAACATCCGTTATGTCGCTCTCAACACGCTAAATAAGGTCGTCGCCATCGAGCCCAATGCCGTGCAGCGACACCGCAACACCATCTTGGAATGTCTCCGCGACCCAGATATCAGTATTCGGAGACGAGCTTTGGACTTGAGTTTTATGCTCATTAACGAGAGCAACGTCCGTGTGCTTGTTCGGGAATTGCTTGCGTTCCTGGAAGTCGCCGACAACGAATTCAAGCCTGCGATGACGACGCAAATTGGCATTGCTGCCGACCGCTATGCTCCCAACAAGCGCTGGCACGTTGACACCATCCTTCGTGTGCTCAAACTTGCTGGTGCATATGTGAAGGAGCAGATTCTGTCCTCCTTTGTCCGCCTCATCGCTACCACTCCTGACTTGCAGACCTACTCGGTGCAGAAACTCTATCTAGCCCTGAAGGAGGACATCTCGCAGGAGGGTCTCACCCTTGCCGCCACTTGGGTCATCGGTGAATACGGCGACAATCTACTGCGTGGTGGCCAATATGAGGAAGAGGAATTGGTTAAGGAGGTCAAGGAGAGTGACATTGTCGATCTCTTCAACAACATTCTCAACAGCACATATGCTACTCAGACCGTAATCGAATACATCACCACGGCTTCGATGAAGCTAACCGTGCGGATGTCCGATCCCGCTGAGATTGAGCGTCTCCGTCGCTTCCTTAGCAGCCGGACCGCTGACCTCAGTGTCGAGATTCAACAGCGGGCTGTCGAGTACACTAATCTGTTTGGGTATGATCAGGTTCGCCGTGGTGTTCTGGAACGTATGCCTCCCCCGGAGATCCGGGAAGAGCAAAGAGTCTTGGGTGCTCCGACCAAGAAACGCCAGAGCAAATTGTTGAAGGATAAGTCTAAGAAGCCGGTCAAGCAGGCGGAGCAGGATATGCTGCTCGATCTCATGGGTGGCGATGCTCCAGCAACTAGCCCAACCACCAATGGCTCTCAGAACACAGCCGACCTTCTGGCAGATATCCTCGGTGGCGATTCAGGCCTCTCATCACCATCTCCTCAACCTGCGCAAAAGCCGGCTGGATCCGTCAACACTAGCGCGATCATGGGTCTCTTCGACTCCAATGGCACTACGCCTTCTCCCAACGTATCGCAGCCCGCATCCTCCGGTCTGGATCTTTTAGGAGGCGTTGGGGCTGCTGCGTCGCCAGCTCCAAGCCCTGCACCTTCGGCTCCGGTGCACACAGCATACAACAAGAATGACTTGACACTCACGCTTCAAGTTCAACGTGCCAGCAACGGCAATGCGCAAATCCAGGCGCGGTTCCGTAACGTCGGAAACTTTGGCCAATTCTCCAATGTAGGATTGCAGGCTGCTGTTCCCAAGAGTCAGCGTCTGCAGCTGAATGCGATCAGCAAGGCAGATCTGGAGGCTGGTGACGAGGGGATTCAGATGCTCAAAGTAGCAGGCCTGGCCGGGGTAAGTCCTTCCACTATCCTGCAATATTCTCTGCACGTATACTAATATTTGCCACAGGCCCTCCCACCTAAACTTCGCCTACGTCTGCGGATCACATATGCGAAGGATGGTTCAGACCCTGTGACGGATCAGGTTGACTGGACCGAGCCATGAGGCCGACGGACGACTTGACTGATATCATATCCCACTCATTGCCCGCCTGGACGCAGGCCGCGTGACCTAATCTATCTACCTTCCACCCATTCATCTGACATCCCACTTTATCATCCCTCGCCCTCGATCATCCATTCTAGCCTAGACGATACTGCCACAATTCATACTCCATGTTCCACATGAGCGAATTTCGTTCCTCAGCCTCAAAATGTAGCACAGTCGCCCTCTTCTATCACATTCAGCCGCCCAAAGCCAGCAGCGACCGACGTCAGACACGGAATGAGAAAGCTGTGTGATTTAACCAGAACAACAAGCCAATATGTCCTCCCTCAACCCCTTTTTTCCTAAGAAACACACACACATCATCATTATTCCACGTCTCTTACATTCCATGCATGCACATCTGCAGAATCTACATACCCGCTTAGTTTTGAATCTGATTTTCTGGTTTCTCCCGGCTCCCCGGTATCTCCGTGTGGTCATAGCTGTGTGCTGTCACAAAGTATAGTTCCTTTTTTTCTTCCATGTTCACCATCGCCAAGCTTTCTCTTTTGCACTCTCCTTCGTCTTATGTCTTATTTCAAATTCCATGTAAATGCTTGATGGACTGTGTACATGGGCGATGCGCATCTCCATTATTACGAGTAGGCTTTTTTTGACCAACTGGGAAATGCAAAAAAAAGGAGGTTGAATCATGGCTCTCCCAGTCGCTAGACTATATCATTTTGGCGATACTGCTTCAAAACCCCCACTCAGTAATGACAGAGGGCTGCTTTCCTGTTCCAAAGACGGACAGAGGGGTTTGAACCATTACTGTGTGTGGGGTTGTGTTGGGTTTTTAAACTCGGTACTTGAGCCTGAGTGGTGGTGGTGGCCCAACTCACTATGGTTTGTATGTAGTAGACAGGCCGAACACTAAGTGATTACTACCTGGTGAGTGGGCTGGGCCTCGCTGGCTAGCTTGCGGGGAGTTTTTTTTTTTTTTTTTTTTTTTTTTTCCTCCTACCTTTCTCCAATTTACGTAGGGGGCGACATTTAAGCATTGACTCCGTGGAGGGAGTTGATGCATGAGTACCCAAACTATAACTGGATGAGGAAAGTATGTTTACTGTACGCAGTATCCGAATGATGATGATGATGATGATGATGATGATGATGATTATTATGATGATTATGATGTAGTAAAGACAGACTACTTGGTAGAAGATGGAACGGGGCCTGTCAGGTGTGTTGTGTAGGTTTCATTGTTGAGATTGTGTGGATGGTAGGTAGTTTTCTACTGTACTAAGTGGATATGTGGCTATGTGTGTTGCTGTTGCTGTTGTTGCAAAAAAGCGCTTCCTCCCAAATTTCGATCATGTCACTCGTAATCATCATCATCGACTCCTGCTTCATTGAGGATATCCCCTCGCCTCTTAACCCCCCCCCCCCCTTCCTTGATCATTAGAGAAACAAATGCACCAAACCAAGTCAAACCCCCATCCCATGCGCCGAAGTAGTTGCAATCATAGTAAAGGTAAAGCACAATAAAGATGTATGCGAAGAATAGTTGAATGTCAGAGGTCGTCGAATAACGGAAAGAGTTAAAAAGTCATGGATTGAGGGATTCATCGACGGACAAACGAAGAGATACTCCATTAAATCGAAAGAGATACGGGTATATCAAAGCAGGCGTCTCGAACCAAGTCCTCGCTAGTAGTATGTTGGAGAGTGGAAATGGTCGCGTCGGTATGCAAGAAGAGAAAAGAAACGTGGTGAAACATCGCGATGAGTCTGTCTCCTGGCGACATGCTGCTGGCTCTAGAATGACTTATTGAGCGTAAGCAGATTGACGCCTGCCTATCGGTGGATGCGGGTAATCGTCCATGCGTCGGGAATAGGTATCGCGACCGGTATGGGGGATATGCTCGGGCCCAATCTCGCGCGCATACTTGTAATCACGATCCTTGCTACGGGTATATTCCACCTCACCGTAAAGGGGTCGCGAAGAAGACTGCCTCGAGGCACTAGGTCGTGATGACGACTCATAGCGACCCGAATACTCCGCTGGGTAAGCATAAGTACTGCTGCGGACTGGTTTTGGCATAGGACGGCTTGACCCCGAACGATCTTGTCGAGGCGGCGAGTGCCCCCTTGCATGTCTTGAGGACGCGTGGGGTGGCGGCATGCTCGGCTCCACCAGGACTGTACCTGGCTCTGTCACGATCTTGTATCTGGTCTTCATCGGGCTCTCCCCAGGTGGTAAGTCCGGTGTCCCCGGACTAGAATACCCGGAATCATGTTTGTCTGTATTTCGGAGCTTCGTCGTCCGGGAGTTACCGTCGTGTACCATGTGCAGAAGGAACTGCTCCGTACGACTGGTCTTCGGTCGGGAATGGGACTGCGCAGTGGATGCAGATCGTGAAGATTGAAGGGAAGGTCGGATTGACGAGGATACTTTGACAGCTGGCGATGTTGCAGCTGTGGGCATGCTGGGGACCTTGGCGTCATAGGATCGAGACTGGGACTCAATATGCTCGTAAGAGTTGTTGCGGGAACTTGAGCTTCGCACAGTTTCCTTGCTTGGCCGATTGGATCGATTCGAGCGCCGGGAGGAGGAGGACTCGGGATCGGCTGAATCATAAGCGTGAGGACGAGGAGGCGACCGAGATGCCTGTGCCCTTCGATCAATTTCAATAGGAACGGTTCCTTTGGATCGTAGGATGTAATCGCGCGCGGTAGTGTGCATCTTCTCATGCTTCGACTCCAAGCGATCTGAGTAATCCTCCGATTCGTAACGTGCAGGCTCCGGGCGACGGGTTGATTCAGTTGGTCGAGCCTTGCGTGTAGACGACTCCCGGCTTCGTTTCTCCGAGGGCCGCTTGACTCGTACGTAGTAGGATGATGCGCTAGAATCGGAAGCCGCGCCGTCATCTTCAGACTCGCTGTACGGGGCGGCCCGTTCAGGATACCTCTTGTCGTAGGCATCCCGCTTGCGTTCCTTGGTACGGTACTTATCGCGAGACGAGTGGGTCGTCTTGACGTTGTCCCGAAGCATCTCCTTCGCGGCGCGGGCGGCACTTAGGGGGACACTCTTCGCCTTCTTCTTCTCTTCCGCCACCTTGGTCCGTCGCTTGCCGTATTCATCGTACTTGCGAGCTGTCGGCCGTGTTCCGTCGGAATCTAAGCCGTCCTCCTCGTAGAAGTTGGTCGCATCTGCCGGAGTTCTTTCTTCGTAGATCCGCCCATTGCGGTATTCGCGGGGCCCGCTGGAACCAGAACCATTGCTTCGCGTGGACGAACCGTTGGGATTCCCGCCGCGCGCCATCATCTCTCGTCGAAGCTCCGCAAGACGGACCTTATTGTCATATTTGGCTCTTCTTGTCTCGTCGGACAGAAGTTCGTAGGCTTGTTGGACCTTCTGAAACTCATCTTGGGCCTGACTTCGTTGGCTTTCGTCCTTGACCTTGTCGGGGTGCCACCTCAGCACCAGTTTGCGATGGGCGGATTTAATGTCAGCCAGGGTCGCATCTTTCTGGACTCCCAACACCACATATGGATCAATATCTGATATGGAGGAGGTCATGATGTGAAAGCTGTGATCAATTGATCAAGCACACAAGGCACAAATACCATACAAGTGTTAGTATGGTCAGGGATAGAATAGTAGAAGGGGTTTTAAGTGAGAGCAGAAAAGCGAGAGGCGTTGTGTGGCGCTGTATAAAAGGGAAATCGGAGCGACCGAGGCGGTGGACGATAAACAAGTAGCGGGAGGCGAGATTTGGGATGGAGGCAGTGTGATATCGTGCAGGTACCCTGGAGTCGAGTGGGCGGATGGACGGGGGAACGATGGGGTGACGTGGGTTCTCGTGACGATCAATGGCTCATGCTCAAGATTTCACCAGATCGGATATGCGGCCAATTCATGGAGAACATGAGAGAACGAGGGAGAAGCGGAGGAGTGAGGGAGAAAGTGCAGCAGCAAGCAAGCAGACAGGCAGGCAGATGCAGCCAGAATAGTAATTGGAGGGGGAGATTGAGAGGGGAATGAGAATGGAAAAAAGGGGACAGAGAATAGGATGACAACAGTAATAGTCAGCCAGGGGAGAAAACCGGCAGGCAGGCAAGAAAGGGAATGGTCAGCAAGCAGTTGATCAACGAAGAGAGAAGGGAAGAAGAGTGAGTGAGTGAGTAAGTAAGTGGTTAAGTGAACGAGTGAGCGAATATCAAGGTATTATTACTGAAGACTGACTAGTATGAGGGTAATCAATCAGAAGGAAAACAGGCAAGCAATGGGTGGGAACGAACGAACGAACCCACTTGAGGAAACTGGGGCGATGATGGGATGTGCTTCCGGGTAATTCTGCTCAGGGGAAAGCGAAAGTGAAAGTAAATGTATAGTCAGAGTATGGTAAAGTTCAGGTCAGCCAGTCCCTCCCTCAGTTGTACTCATAGTACGGGAGAGGCGACCAACACCAGAGGGGCAAAAAAAAAAAAAAAAAAAAAAAGGAAAGCGAAAAGAAAATAAAAATAAAAGCAAAATGAATAATAATCTTCTTCTAAGGTCAGATCCAAGCAAACTGCGCCACGCTGATTCTCTCCCAAAAACTAAAAGTAGAAATGTGAAAATGTCGAAAAAGTATTAATCCTCTTCCCCCAACATCCAAAAGAAGGATAGGCGTGTGAAGTGGCACCACGTTAGGAAGTTTAGTAACAATGGGTACGGTGCTGCTGAATAGGCACACACACACACACACTCTCTCTCTCTCTCTCTCTCTTGCTCTGTGGACGATGATGAATAATACTGATGATGAATGATGGCAAGAAGAGCTAGAATGACAGCAATATGAGCTGGCTCAGCTTACTCCAAGACGCTCGATGATGCCACGGGCGATTCAAAGGGTGGAGTGGGATAATGTTGGGGGCAAAGAAGGAAAGGGAGGGAGGGATGACTGATAGTGCTGCTGTTGCTGCTGCCGCGGCCGCTGCTAATGCTGATGGTCCTGGTAGGAAGAAATTGAGAGAGGAAGAAGGAGCACATTCCACTGAGTAATCAACAAGTGCAATCAATCATGATAAATAATCTAAAGAGAAGAAGCCCTGCCTCTTCACTTCACTTCTCCTTCGTGCTGATAGTGACTCAGTCTCCTTCAGGCGTTTGTCGCCCTCTTCTTGAGAAAAAAGAAGGAATGGGACCAACTCAGAAGCAGCGGTGAAGTGGATGAAACCAACGATGGGGACTTTTGTCCGTCCTTAATCTTCCCTTAGATGTATTCTTCTGATGGGATAGTGACCAACAGGGGGAGGTTCATCCAATGAAGCGGTCAATTCACAAATCCTGCCTAAGGCAATAGAAGCATCGAGTTGGGATCTCTTCTCTCGCCAGTTCCTTGTATCCTGCAGACGAGGTGCCAGATGAGATTGATATTCCCCAGGTTAACACATGGAATCTGTCAAATCGAACTGGAAACCAGAAGTGATGTGGTACAGAAGCTCGGTTGTTCTGGGTATACTTCGACCGCCTGGTCCGTTCCCGGTCGGGGATGGAGTCGGTACTCCGTACTGTACTTGGGTACGTGGTACTGTACAGTACTCACCATACCACACGGCATGGCACTGGCACTGCAGACAAACCGTCCTTCTTCTTTGGTTCTAGTGGGGGGTTTCCTCTTGACTTCTCCTCGGTTAGATGGAACTCGAGCAAGACTGAGGTGCCCGCCCTGAATACCTATCTACACAGTACCTAGTCATCAATCTTCCTTTGCCTACTTTACTCATGCTAAACTGATAAAAGCCACACGCAGTTTCATCTGTCACATCTACATCTTAGCTAAAAGGCAGCGTGTGGTCAGGAACTCGTTATTTTTTGTCTGTACCATCTCTCCCCCTCTAATCTCCTGTCAAATGTCAGATGAGCACGCACCACCACCACCATCCCCGTTCACCAGGGCGACCGTCCACCGGTCAGGGTATGCGGGGCAGCCGGGACTTGGGACTTGGGAGAGGTGGGTTCGTCTTTCCGATCGGCCTCGGATTTGGTTCTCTACAAATTTCCAGTCTCCAGTCGTCAGTTGGCACTACCCTCTTGCATGCTGATTGATCAGATAGATGGTTCCAGGCCAACTAATCATCGTCGATATCGCGACCCTCATGAATCTCACCACCACCCGCCCTAAACCCTGTTCAGTTTGACCAGTGGCCATCGACAATCGACCTTGAACCGCAGCAGGAGAACCCCGCATCACCACCACAACTCGTTGGCGCCCGCTGTGACTGCCACACCCTTTGCACCTCCGTTGTTCATAACTTCACCCACACCATCTTGGCTGCTCTCCAACTACCTCGATAGGTCGACTAAATTTCTCGTCACCTTTGCCTTCACCGAGAAGTTTTTATAGTCCAATCATCGACACGGTCATCTGCGTGCGCTTTTCCCCCCGCTGCATCGTACTCCTGTTGCCTCACCGAGATGATACGCTGAGTTCTGCAGCCTTGAATTAGCTCGGCGTATTGCTCCTCCCTCCCCCTCCCCCTTCACCAACTCTTCTCTTTCTTCACCCTCTTGATATTTCTCCCTAATCCATAAGATATAGCTTATTGAACAGATTAGCTTCGCATTGCGACCGAGCATCGCGCAATTTATTCCAATCCAGCGGATACATGCAGCGACACCCGGGAACACCAATTAGCATGGTACCTGACGAAGCATCCATGGTTACCACCGCCCTCTAACATCACCGATCCGATCCGGTTTCGCGTGGAATGGTCCCGTGGGTTGGTCCCGAACGGTTCCGTGGTTGTGCTTACAAGTTGTCCTAGATCTCGACTACTTCGTCCTAGTGCCCATGCTCATGCCAGGTCCACCTCTCGACCTGTCCTGGCGGTTGGGTCATCACAAACTCCAAGGCGTGACACATTCGTCTGTAGATCTATCACCTCCATCTAACCTTGCGATAAAAGCTAAAAGAACAATCGTCGTGTGTTATGTCTTCTACGATTGGATTGTATGTGGTCGCGCTCTACCGGTCTCACCTCGCACTAGCCTGTCAGATTACCTTGCCTGTGCCACTTCAAGCTGCCTGTGTTCATGATCCCTTCAACGGCTGCCCCTCACGAAGCTGATTGTTCTCGAAGGAGTGACTGGGCCCTAGACCGAGTCATCTGCCCCAGAAGCGAGGCTTGGCCTATCATTCTGGCCGCGCACCATGCAATGATTATCCCGGCATTAGTTTGCAGGCGGATGCTTCGATTTCTCGTTGGGCGGCATCCAATCACATTGCAAAGGCGCGCAAGAATAGAGGCGGCTACCATGAACATTCGTCAAGAGTTTTTCTCTGGGGTGGAAGCTGTAGCAGTATGGTGCGACACGTTAGCAAGAGTTTAATGGACTCCTCGCTGAGTCGGAGAGTATCTTTATTCTGGCTACGGCAACGTCTTGGATGCAGGATCGGCGGAGTCGATGATCGCTTGGTGATATTCAGTACTCCGACTCCGATCGGCCGCTCAAGCAACCCTTGAGCCGATGGCATACGTATGACTATCTCCGATGAGGGCTGACCGAGTGAGCATGTCTCTGTCGCTTCTCGAGATTCCACGCGGTTCTTAAGACACCATACCTATCCATACAGGCAGCTTCGAGCTTTACTGACCCACAACATCCACAAATGAAAGCCTACCGGTAGGTGGGGCTTGGAGGCACAAGTGAATCTCAAGTGCGAGTGCCTCGTGGAAGAGTGACGGATTCAACTTCGACACACTATTAAGTATCCCTGGTTCCGCGGTCACCAGTTGAAGGCCGCACCAGGGGGATGACCGAGCGCCCACCAATGATCTCGACCACTAGCGATCCTGGCTGCATCTTATCAATCCAGTCGGCGGTTACCTTACCTACTTGGCTCTAGTTTCAGCCACTAGCTCGATTAAAGGAAAACTCATGGCTATGGCCGCCTTAGCGCCCCAACCCCAGCCAGGTGGCGCTGTCCGGACTCCGGGCCACGGATGCAGATTGTAGTGGTAGTCGTCCTCGCGTTGGATGACTGATGAATCGTACATGTAATACGAAAGCTGATGCGGGGCCCACCTCAGCTGCGGTCTGATTTTACGACTGTGGGTGGCATCTCTAAACTGATCAGCATTTCATCCGGGCTGATATGTTCCATTGGATCGGGAAAGTGGGCCTGAAAGAAACGACATGGAATAAGAACAGCCGAGCCACGCGGGTGGACCTGCCTCCTCGCTGCTCTAAAAAGTACGTACCTATTGTGCAGTTGGTTGTACAGAAGAGTATCTGAGCGGAAAGGGCGCAAAAAGAAATCTCCCCGACTGGGAGTCGAACCCAGGTCTCCCGCGCTTGTTCCCGTCTGGGATTGACAAGCGGAAATCATGACCGTTAGACCATCGAGGAAGCTCGTTGAAAGAAGCTCAGAAAAGTGTAAAATGGAGCAAAACCTTTAAACTGCTACTTGCAGAAACAGTGGATGCTGCAGATCAAGCAACGAACCCCTCATCCTTTACATCATATGCTCCCTGTCTCCATCGGTTTACCCCACAACTTTTGAAACCACTCGATTGATTATTATTCCTGCCAAATGTCCTAACTTTGAAGATCCTTTGATTATGCCGGAGGTGCGGTATATTTCTGTATGTTTTGATGATCTATTTCCAGCTCAGTCGCTGACTTGCTCTTCTCAGTCACTATCCACTATTAACTCGATAACTACAATCGGGACACAAGCCCCCTTTGTCCCCAAAGCCGCGGACCCCCTCCCTCCCCCCACTACGGAGTACTAAGCACACTTTTCAGTCTTCTGTCCCTGTCCATAGGACAGGGTCAAGCGCCTGCAACCCCCTCACTAGGCGGTTCCAGATGGGTCCTCGTCACCTACTACTATCCTCGACTGGTAACCGCTGATCGAGGCACTAGGACACGACACTTTACTATCAGTTCACCCAAAGACCACCAGGATTCCAGCTGACCCCCGCCTTATCGCGTTTGACTATAGGACAAACACGCATTTAGATGACACCCAGGCAAAGGAAACATTTCATGTGATCTTTCAAACCTGACTACGTCTTGCGATCAAACAAATGCATTATCCATGGGTCTCCTGAATAATACAGTATTAACAATAGCAGGCATGACGGATTGTCGCTCATGGGGTTTATTGTACTCCCTTCCTTCCCTACTTTCAGTGACTAGGTGACTTTATTTCCGGCTCGAGTTCGTCAAATGACGATTCGACCCAGCACATCGAGCAAGGGAGCCATGAAGCATCACTCTTCTCAAACCCCGCCTTGCTGCCACTAGCTCATGATGTAGATCACTACACAGGTATTCCTTTAGTGATTAATTATCACAGGCCTCCAATCACGTTGAGGCGTCTACCCAAAGGGTAAAGGAGCAGATTCAACTGCCCAGGCTGAAAAGTTTCTTTGTTCCAAGGCAACTACTGACGCATACAACCTAAAACAGCCAGGGATACGTCAAATTGGAGGTCAAAGCTCAAGCTGTTTGTTGGAAGCTAGATGGTATCAGGACCTTCGAGACAAAAATGCAGTACTATGCTGAGGTAATGCTTGTGTGCTCTAGGATGGCCAGGCGTCATCTCTAGCCCCGTGCGCTTCAAGTCGCTGCTCATCACTCCTTCCATGCCGGGAGTTCTAGATCAACCACAATGGGTGTATTGAACTTTTTCCCTCCTCGATAAGGCCAGCTCGTTGCCATGATTGCCGCATTGATGATGCAAGTCTCGCGTCTGTGCGAGTGAAGCCCATTCTCATCGTCATGTTCTCCTCTCTTCAGGCATGAAAGGGCAGATTCCGAATCTGATCGGTCGGCTTCAGTATTCTGAGTCCAGCCTAGCGAGAGGTCAGGCAATGGAGCTAGTATAACATTCTGCGTCGATTGGAACAGTGCTCCGAGTGACGTTGCCACTTGCTCAGCGAAGAAACCATCATTGTCTAGCTTCGATGACTTTTTTCCTGTCAGGTCCACGAGGCTTTGCTTTCTACTTCCCCAAGGAGGGAGAAAGCCTTGAGTGATTTGACTTGGTCGATCGTGAGTATTTGACACAAGCAGTGACGGTATGGATGAAGGGGACCACTTCACCCTCTCATAGCCGCGCGACTCGTGCACATGGCCACATACGGCCAGCATCGGTCGAACGTTGCTTAAGGCCTCGCGAAGGGCTTTGCAGCCGACTGATTCAGCCGTTGTTCCATGACGGTCGCAGTGTGAGTGAGGAGGGGTGTGCGTTACCACAATGTCAGTGTCCAATGGAATTCTGCCCCAAAGCTCAGCAGCCTCCGAGGAGTCGTATCCATAAGCCCAGGTCCCTGGCGATTGGGAATATGGAGAGCCAAAGACTTTGAAGACGGTGTTTGGGCCGTTGGGCCGCCTCAGCCGGACTAGTGCTGACTCGTGCCTGAGAAATACGATGGAAGGGAAGGATGCTTCGGTGACAAGTTCTATGCATTTCCGAGGGTCTTCGAGATGCTGACCATGAAATTTCGAACCATGGCGGGCATAGAAATCGGCATCTAGCGTAATGTCATGATTTCCTGGAGCGCTTTCATACTTCAGCACACTCATGCGTATCGACACTCTTCCTCAACATCCCTACGAGCTGCGGTCTCTGGTCTGGGACAAGCCACAGGCGGCTTTCGTGCAAGCTCGGCTAAGTATTGTAAGTACTGACCACAGATGACAATTTTGACCTCGAAATCAGCCGCAGAAATCCAATCCATAGTTTTACGAAGCTCAGCCATGCTACCATGGTTGGTGAGATCACCCGCATGGATCAAGACGTCTCCAGCTGGTAGCTTGAAGCCAGCCTCAGAGGGAGTGTAAGCATGCGTGTCAGAGACACAGACGAAACGTGTCTTTCGGCGCATCTTTGTTATGGGCTTCTCTGAAACACTCATAGGATTAGCGGATCTGTTTCTATTATCGGCAGGGCTTAGCCAGGACATGGCTCAGGTAGTACATGCAACCTTGCTGTGAAACAACAAGGCTTGGTATCCAGCGGTTCATGTTGCCTGCTCACCTACAGCTGGCGAGTTCTTCTATTTCCAAGTGAGGAATTCCAAAGGTAAAAAAGTCAAAATACGGCGGGAATTGCATAGCATTCTTGTGTGACGAGGAGAGTATCACCCAGCATCCTAGTCTGTCGCCGGAGTATATTGAAGGAGAGATAGAGAGTTATCTAAGTTAAACGAGTGACGACATGTAAGCGGTCTGTCCCAGCGGGTACTGGTAGTAGACACCTGAGGCATTGAATCTGTATCTCGAATCATCGCTTAAAGTCAGGTTTGCACCGAGCCCAATCAACAATCATCAATTCATCTCCCGAAGCAGCCGGAAGTGGGGCCAGGCGACCCCCCGATTACATGATGATGCACTTTCAGCAACCTCACGATACCACCTCCACCATCATTCTTCTTCCAATCCTCTCCCTCACTATTCGTCATCTGAAGCTTGAGAGGCACGTGATTATCTCCGCTCTAGAGACTTGAGGAGGTGCATAGCTTTCCTCAAGTCATACTTGCAGCATGCCTCGGTGGAAGCGCAGTAAGACGCGCTCTGATAAAGACCTGGGAGCCAGCAACGGTGGTTCTGGAGCGCCAGCCGATAGCCCCATTGCTCACTCTACGGCCATCGCCTCTCTCCGTGCTGTCAGCGGCAGCTCTCCGGACACAATGAGAGGAGCAGCACAAACCATAGTCCCAGATCCTGAGGCGATCCGCAAGCTAGCTAAACAGCACGCCGAGTTCGGGCCCCTCGGCGATCCGTCGCATCTTTACACCAGCGAGCACCCTGGGGGAGAGATCCCCGACCCTGTCATTGATGAACCTCCGTACTTCTTTGTCTTGACGACCTACGTCAGCTTTCTCGTTCTCATCTTCCTCGGCCATTTCCACGATTTCTGGGCTCAGTGGTTTTCGTCTCATTCCTATCGGCATCTGAAGCCCCAGAATGGGTACGCCTCTCTGTACAGCGACTTCGAGAGCTTCTACACGCGTCGATTGAAGCAGCGGATCAACGACTGCTTCGAGCGGCCGATCACCGGCGTCCCCGGCAGACATGTTACCCTCCTCGACCGGACCACCGAAGACAACCTGCATTTCAGCTTCACGGGCACGACCACCGACACACTGAATCTCAGCTCCTACAACTACCTCGGATTTGCTCAATCAGAGGGGCCTTGCACCGATTTCGCGGAGGAGACTCTCCGGCGGGAAGGTATCTCTCTCGCGGGCACCCCTGACGCAGGAATCACCAAGTTGCATGTTGAGGTCGAGGATCAGATCGCCCGGTTCGTGGGCAAGGAGTCCGCAATGGTGTTCTCTATGGGATTCGTGACCAACGCTACGATCTTCCCGGCCATTATGGAAAAGGGCTGTCTGATTCTGTCCGATGAGCTCAACCATGCATCCATCCGGTTCGGCGCCCGTCTCTCGGGGGCTGCTATCCAGGTCTTTGCGCATAACAATATGGCGGACCTTGAGAAGCGCTTGAGGGAGGCGATCTCGCAAGGTCAGCCGCGTACTCACCGGCCTTGGAAGAAAATCCTTGTCACCGTCGAGGGCCTGTTCTCGATGGAGGGCACCATGTGCAATCTTCCTAGGATCCTTGAGCTGAAGAAGAAGTACAAGTTCCACTTGTTCGTTGACGAGGCTCACTCAATTGGCGCGGTTGGACGCCATGGACGCGGTGTCTGTGACTACTTCAGGGTCGACCCTGCAGAGGTCGAGATCCTTATGGGCACTTTTACCAAGTCCTTCGGAGCCAATGGGGGTTATATCGCCGCCGATAAGGCGATCATCGACAAAGTGCGCTGCATCAATGCTGGTCAAGTCTTCGGCGAAGCTCCGTCCCTGCCTGTTCTAGCGCAGATCTATTCCTCGCTGCGCCTTATTGCTGATGAAGACCCCCTTCATCCGGGTGAAGGCAGAGAGCGCATGCAGCGTCTAGCGTTCAATTCACGTTATCTACGACTTGGACTGAAGCGACTCGGGTTCATCGTTTATGGACACGATGATTCGCCCATTGTCCCCCTGATGCTGTACAACCCCGCCAAGATGCCTGCGTTCTCCCGGGAAATGCTGCGTCGGAAGATTTCCGTCGTCGTTGTGACCTACCCTGCTACGCCTCTTGAGCTCTCCCGTGCCCGCTTGTGCGTGTCGGCTGCGCACACCAAGGATGACCTCGACCGCATCCTGCAGGTGTGCGACGAGATCGGTGATGCTCTCGAGCTCAAGTTTTCTTCCGGGGTCGCAGGGGGCTTGAAAGAGCCCCTCTCTTCTGAAGAGAACCCCAATGGAGGCCATAAGGCCATTGAGCCCCCGCGCTGGACTCTCGAAGAAGTCATTGCAAGGGGCACGCGAGATGCTAAGCTGCCTTTTTATTAGAAAGCAGCCGGCACAAATCTTGATCTGTATGATGTGATGGAAGATAGCACACGTCTTTGCTTCTTTTGTATAATGCTGCACGACCCCCTCCTCCTTTTCGACATCGAAATTCGCGCCTAGACACAGCCATCGCGTGCGATCTGTCCCTTCTATATGGTGCCATTGCTTTGGCGCGCGCGACGGACTCTAAGTCCCCGTCCGACGCCGGACTGTATCTTCGGCGAGACTCATGGCTTGGCTTGCCGTTTGAGAGCACATATTAATCTTAATGTATACAATATTCACTTCTAGCTGCTATAATGACCAGCAACTCTCGCTTGGGCTGGGTTTTTCTAATGATTTGTGATTGTTGCTCCATGTTTGATTGAGGGGACTTGCCCATACATGGGCGGTAATCGGTAAGCGGGTGGCTAGAACCATTGGCTGACTGCCTGCGGATTGCACCGGTCAGGTGAAGCAAGTGAAGGGTTTTAGGGTGATAGTAAACTAATGACAGAGACCTTAATCCTTTCTGATACTTTTAGGGACTTAAATGGTGAATGCGACCGTAGCAAAGGGACCGATAGGCAGTAGACAGTATGTAGATTGATTACCAGCGTATCTGGGGGAAACACTGGGTCTACGCACTATCTAGTTATTTGCGGGGTGGGCACTTGTCTAAGTTCCTCCCTCGCAAGACTAATGCAATGAGGTATAGCCTGGCCGTGCAAAAGACAGGAACAAAATGGCAGAGAGTGACTAGTATGTAGCGCTTCTTACCAGCTGCACAAAGCACCCAATATCTGTGCAAGGGCAGCCTTGAATCCATGGAATATTGCCACTCAGGGCAAGACGAGAGCCAGTCACTGCCCATCACTGAACAAGAGATAAGGGCTGGATTCCCATCCTGCTGTAATGAGGGTTATGTATCACGTGACACCCAAGCCACGCCACGGGAAAAGAGGAGTTAGGGCTGTGGCCCTCGACGGGGGAGCTTCCCGCACAAAGAAAGCCCGTAGCGCCGCTCGCTTAGCGACCAAACCCCAGCGAACCTCCATCCGACCATCCGTTGTGTGTGCGTTGAACCTGCCCACAACGACAACAACCGCCGACAACTTATACATCCCAAGGGAGTATCCTAGAGCAGCGCTCTTCCTATCGCTGGATATTTTCCTTTCGACACAGCAGGATGTCCTCCATCGATCCAGTCGTGCGTACTACCGCCCCTTCCACACCTACACATGCAAATACGCACATAGGCACATGCACATCCTATCTTGAAATCTATGTCTGCAACAATACCGGAGACGGAGTGCAAGAGGAGGGATGATTTGGGGGGATTGGAGAATTGAGATGCGAGAGAGGAAGGGGAATGCGAGACCCGTCTCCCCGGAAAGAAGAAGCGGAGGCGATGGAAAGACCGGGAACATATCACTCAGGGAAATTGGGAGAGAAACAGAAATCGCTGACTTGTGTTGGAATTCTTTGCAGGTCGTCATTGACGGCAAGGGACACCTTCTTGGTCGTCTTGCCAGCACTGTCGCCAAGCAGCTGCTCAACGGTCAGAAGATCGTCGTCGTGAGATGTGAGGCTCTTAACATCTCCGGCGAGTTCTTCCGCGCGAAGCGTACGTTCATCATCTATCCGATCCGAATTCGAATGCGATCTCTTGTGTTTGCCATCCCCTGCTGTCGTCTGGGTTAAATCCTTGGTGTATGGTGTCTGCTACGTGAGGTGCAAGGCTGTGGATGTGAAATAAGTTCCGACATGGAGGAAAGAAGAGTCGGGATAATGATGGACATATCGAGGCGACAGTTGGGGAGGAACACAAGAGATGCGCTTTATGCTGAGGAAACAACATCGACTGACCTGGATCGTGCGATATAGTCAAGTACCACGCCTACCTTCGCAAGATGACTCGTTTCAACCCCACCCGCGGTGGTGAGTCTACCCTGAAACTTTCCGGCAACCCCGATTCTCTCGACTGGTGCTGAGTTTGATTCCCACAGGTCCCTTCCACTTCCGCGCTCCCTCCCGCATCTTCTACAAGGCCGTCCGCGGTATGATGCCCCACAAGACTGCCCGTGGTGCTGCCGCTCTGGAGCGCCTCAAGGTCTTCGAGGGTGTTCCTCCCCCCTACGACAAGAAGAAGCGCGTCGTCGTTCCCCAGGCCCTCCGTGTCCTCCGCCTCCGCCCCGGTCGCAAGTACTGCACCGTCGGCCGTCTGAGCCACGAGGTCGGCTGGAAGTACCAGGACGTCGTTGCCAGGTATGTTTTTTCTGTTGCCGTGCTGGAGCGGTTCCTATCGCTGTATCGTGATCATGGCTAAACATCCTTCTACAGACTCGAGGAGCGGAGAAAGGTCAAGAGCAGCGCCTACTACGAGCGCAAGAAGGCTGCCCGCCGTCAACTCCTCCACGCCCAGAAGTCGGCGGCTGTCAGCGAGCAGACCAAGACCGAGCTTGCTCAGTACGGATACTAGATACCTGGTTGCGCGGCTGGTTGCCTGTGTCTGTGATGGGATGGGATGGGATCGCGAACGGTTACGGTTATGTTTCAGCGACAGATGGACGGCGAACCGATCGACCTTTTTTTTCTCTCCCTCTGTCCCTAACCTTTTCATGAAACCCCCCACAATACTTACGTTGTGACGCACATGGGAGGCTGGCGAGATTCGAACTCTTAATACACAAAAAAGAATTTTTACGGGAGCCCGTTTTGGGATGAAAAAAAAGGTTGTTTCCAAATAGCTGACCGTTGACTCGCGCCGTGGCGGTCTAATTCCAAGAGATTTTTCTTTTTTCCAAACTGTTCAGATGACTTGTTGTGATGACCTCCCCCTTTCAAAAAGAAAAGAAACATTACATTCAGCTTCATCTTGGTATATCCGCCATAATTGTCCAAAGTTCTAATTACGCCATGCTATAAGCCGCGGGTCCAAGTTTCTCGATGACCTCGTATAAATGCCGCAAGAACCGGATGGATTTTATCCCCATTGTCAACACCACTCTCAGCCCCCTTGCGTGACGAAGGCGCATGCGACAAGACAACACCTTGCCAAGACGCCTAGTAGAGTCCAACTTTGGTGTACAGATCTACAAATCGCTCATCACCGTTGTCGTAGTGAAAGAGGCCAATGCCGTCAATACCGCCATCCCAGGGTAATCTGATGATGTGATGAGAGAAAGAGTATTGCATGTGTCCGGATTGCCTTCATGCAATCGGAACAAGGCACTTGCCGCTTAGCGTGATTATCGCTGCATGGTTGACTCATGTACCATCATCATCTACGGAGTACAGTACCATCCATCCAGTCATACTGAAGATCTGAAGATGATCGATTGTGGGAACAGTTGATGCTCCATCCGATCTGTCTGTGAATCCTTGATCCGGTTCTGGATCCTATCTGTCGGTAAGCACTGACCACCAGTGAGTAGAGTGTCCCTGCGGTGCGGAGACAGTTCTGGACTGTTCCTCTTTTTCCTGCTGGTGCTTAGTAGCCTGCTGTACTTACTTAGTTCGGAGCGGGACCTTGTTTGATGATATGACTGGTGCCTGGTAGTTCCATGCAGAATCGGATGTTTGATGAAGTATTTGCACTGGACAGTACTGTACTGTAACTATATGGTACACCTGTAACTCGCCGACTTACTATGTATGTTATGTCCAAGTCGATACGTACTCAGTCAAACGGGGCGTGGATCTCGATTGAGTTGATTGATTGCTTGATTGTATGAGTAGTACCCATGATGTATTGTGTTGATTATGGATTGGGACCAAGGTGGAGGCCGCTAAGGAACAAGAATTTTCCAGTGGTCAATCATCAATGAGGGGAAATGTGTACTGTGTGTATTCCTGGGTACTGGGTAACTTAGTCATGTACGAGTCGGAGCGTTCGACAATATTTTCGTCTGGGAATTGGTCGGTGTAACTTGCTGAACTTTATTGATTCGGTTGTTGTCGTCAGCAATCTCGAAATACATTGAAGATACCCGCTTCATTGGTAGGTTCTTCTTCATCTGTGGACGAATCAAGTCTTGAACAATGTGCGAGTAGAACGGGGTTGTTTGAAAGTTCCAAGTTGAAAGGGAAGGATCCGCTTTTTGGGCTCCGCCGCGGCCCCGACGCCCCGAACGATGATCATCCCCGCATTTACTCCTCTTTTACTTCGCTTCTCCTCTTCTGGAGCTACTCGGAATCTCCCTCTGCTCTCCCCTCCTCCTCTTCCTCGTTTTCTCATTTCCTCAATCTGAATCACACACGCCTCACTCCTCATCCTGACCAGTGCCTATCCAATTGGATTCTCTCCAGGGAGGACATTAAAAGCATACACGAATTTGTCCCTCGCCAGTCACACATCAAAGAACATCACAAGCTATGTCCTCCGCAAAGGGCCGGTTATCGGGCCTGCTCGCCCATTTGCTTCCCACCACCACCAACACCACCACCAACACCAATACCTCAACCTCTACCTCAACCTCTACGAATCGACCAGTCAATTTCCACACCCTATCTCCAACATACTTTCTTCCTCGAGCTGCTGCCATCGAACCACATGTAAGTACTGTTTTTTGTCTCGAGACTTTAGCCCCTCAAAAGTCTGGCCGACATGAACCCTCCCTTCCAATCAATGCCCCCAACTTGGCACTCATAATATTCATCACACTTTGAAACAGGCCGAAGCAATCTACCACATCACCACCAATAATCAAATCCTCCGGCGAAGCTATATCGAATTCGCCGACCGCGCTCGCGGCCTGGCCTATTTCCTGAAGAGCCATGCGTTCAAGCGCGTGGGAATTCTCTGTCCTAATACCCCGGCTTTCTTGGAGGCTATCTTTGGCATTGCCGCTGCTGGGGCGGTGCAGGTTGGTATGTTATTTTTTTTCTTTGTTCTTGTGCTATATATGTAGTTTGTTTGCCTTGTGGGTAGTGGGTGGAGGGGCTGTTTTTCCCTGGGGGGAATTTGGCTGTGTACTGCTTGGAAGGGGTTGATGCTGACTTGAACCTTCTCCTATAGCGGTGAATTACCGTCTCAAGGAAGAAGATATCGCCTATATCTTTACACATTCAGAGGTTGAAGTGATTATTGTGGACCAGGAGTTTCTGCCCCTATTACAGCGCTATCGGGCGACGAAACCTGATGTGCCAGTGATTGTGGATACCGATACCGATGAGACGGAAGGGCAGTTGTCTGGGCCGTTTGACGATGCGGTCTTGGAGGGGTTGAGGTTTGATGCCGAAACTGGGGCTCTAGGGTGGGATGGGCTGGAAGCTCAGGCAGCTGCCGAGGAGGATGTTCTCGCGTTGGCTTATACGAGTGGAACTACGGCCAAGCCGAAGGGGGTGGAGCTCACCCATCGGGGGTGCTACCTGGCGTCGTTGGCGAATCTGGTCGAATCTGGGCTGAATGTGCATGAGGGTCGGTGCAGGTATCTGTGGACTTTGCCGATGTTTCATGCGGTCGGTGAGTGTTTCTTCTGGTCGAGAATGCCCAAGGACCTAGTGAGACTGATGCTGTGGCACAGGGTGGACCTTCCCGTGGGCCGTGACGGCTGTCCGGGGTACGCATTACTGTCTGCGTAAGATCGATTATCCGCAGATCTGGAGGTTGCTGAAGCAAGAACGCATCACGCATTTTAATGCGGCGCCGACGGTGAATACTTTGCTTTGCAACTCACCGCAAGCCGAACGTCTGCCGCAGTCGGTGCGCGTGACGGTGGCGGCTAGTCCTCCGACGGGCCATCTGTTCGAGCAGATGACCGAGTTTAACCTGCATCCTGTGCATACTTACGGGATGACGGAGACGTACGGCCCCATCACCAAGGGGTACCATATGCCAGCGTGGGACAACCTCGCCCCGACCGAGCGATACGAGAAGATGGCGAGACAGGGCCATGGATTCCTGACCAGTCTGCCGGCCAGGGTGATCAAGACGGATGTTCCCGAGGGCACGGTTGTAGACGTTCGCCGGGACGGCAAGGAGATCGGGGAGATCGTGTTTGCCGGGAACATATGTTCCCGGGGCTACTACAAGGACCCGGAGGCGACACGGAAGCTGTTCCTTGGTGGTGTGCTCCATTCCGGCGACCTGGCTGTCTGGCATCCCGATGGGGCCATCCAGATTCTGGATCGAGCTAAGGACATCATCATCAGCGGTAAGTTAGATCCCTGGGTTGCGGTTTGGTTCTCATTGCTGCACCCTGTTCCCTCTCCGGAATGTTGTGCTGACGTACGGCTCTAGGGGGTGAGAATATCTCCTCAGTTGCCTTAGAGGCGCAGCTGGTGACCCACCCCGACATTCTGGAGGCCGGGGTCGTGTCGGTTTCAGATGCGCACTGGGGCGAACGTCCCAAGGCCTTCATTACGGTCAAGGAAGGTAGGGAACTCGATGGCAAGGCGGTCATTGAGTGGGCGCGGAATGCTAGCGGCATCAGTAAGTTTATGGTCCCTCGCGAGGTGGAGGTGGTGGCGGAGCTGCCTAAAACCAGTACGGGGAAAATCAGAAAAAATGTACTGCGCGACTGGGCTAAGGGGGCGTCTCGGACGTGAAAGAGATGGTGGGTTGGTTCTCGGGAGAGATTGTATCACTCTATGGTCTTGTTCTGGTTGAACGGGTTGTGACTTTATATAGATTGGATAGAGTGTCGCAGGAGACGATAAGGGCTGTACACTTGGATTCTCTTTGATTCTCCCCTCTTTAACAAATCACGTAGTCGGGTAGTGGAAAAGGGGTAATGGCGGATGAGCTTTAAAAACCTATTCTAAACATGATCCAAAGGAGGGAGCAACCCGAGGTGGATCCTATTTGTCTTAGATGCGAACCACCGGGGATGGTGAAGGCAACGAGCATGAGGGGGAGGGGAAGGGGGGAAAGCTTTGGATGAAACTGAAGATAATCAAAGCTCAGCCCCAATAATTCTAGCAATTCACCTGGTAGACAGTTATGCTTATTTAGCGAATCTGCTAGTGTTTGTCGAGGAATGCTAATAATAATCATGATACCTTTGATGCTTGGGTGAATTGAGGGATAAGTAAGTGGGCGCACGGGTCGACCACCCAAGAATAGCATAAGTCAATAATATGGATGATGTCGTTCGGCAGCGGGCTTCCCTGGCAGTTCAGTTAAGTTACCAAATATTAACTAAACTAATCAATCAACTTTCCCCTCCTTTCTCACCTTAAGTCGCAATCAAGCGATGCTCGGGATTGTAAAGAAAAAAAATTTTTTTTTTCAAAGATTAAAAATACTAGTTACTGTTGATTAGGCTGAGGTCAGTGAATGAGGTACAGTACAAAGCTGTTTGTTCTCTTCCTACCTAACTTTAAGTAGGTGAATATTTATCTCTGTCTACCTTAATCATCCTCTTTCTTTTCTTTCTCCTCTCCCGCCTTTGTAACCGCCTTCTTCTTCTTTCGTCGGTCCCTCTCCGTCCCAACCAACCCCCCCCCCCCCCTCCTCCGTCCCCTCATCATCAACATCCAACATCATCAACATCATCATTCCTCCTCTGCCTCCTCCTCTTCGCAACCTCCCTGACAGCCCACCGCCGCTACGTTGATTACCTGTAACTACCACCTTTTGACTCTATATTGCTATATGATACTCACATTTCCCCCTGATCGGGCTTACAGATTCTCTGGACGCTCCCAATCCCGCCCCGGGTCTCACCCTTTCGGTCCTCCGACCGGGATTCCTCCTTCTCCCTCGCCTCCTCCGCCGCCCGACGCCGTCCTCTCTCTCCTCCTCTTCTCTCCCTTTCCCCTCCTTTCCCTTGCCTTGCCTTGCTTTGCCTTCGTCGGCATCCTATCGCACGCTCTTTCGACGCGTGTTCCTCCTCTCAACGCCGACCAACCTGATCTCAACTCGCCTCTTCTGTCCCCTTTGACCCTTCCGTTTTCCCAAGGCGAACCTCAAATCTCAAGATCGGTCTCGAATCTCTGATCACACTTCCGGCTTCCCCTCTCCAATAGGTGACAGCCACATTTTATATGAATAGTTTCTCTATCAAAAGCACAACACGTTGTATCCTGGCCGAAATAGGACAGCGACCAGTCCTCCACCTCCCTCTCCCAACAAGCACGCTTGCCACCACTTTCCGACGTTGGTCCTGATGCCCCGCTCAAGGCAACCCGCTCGGTTCTCGAGCGAAGCTCCCTCCGAATCCTCCTCCTCGACCTCCCCCGATCGCACCGCCGATGATGACACCGACTTTTTCACAGCTCAAGCCAACGATTCAGAGTCCTCCGTGGGCGCTATAAATGGCCGGGATTCCCATGCATATTACGACTCAGATCGGGCCCTGCCGCCCATCGGACGGTTGCCTCCGGAGATCTTGATCGCCATCTTCGCCAAACTGAGTTCGCCAGCCGATATGATGAGCTGTATGCTGGTCTGCAGAGGATGGGCGGCAAACTGCGTGGCGATCTTGTGGCACCGGCCATCGTGCAACAGCTGGGACAACATGAAGAGCATCAGCACCACAGTGGGCAAGCCAAACAGCTTCTTTCCTTACTCGGACCTAATCAAGAGACTGAACCTGTCCGCTCTCTCGGGCGACGTCAGCGATGGAACGGTCATGACCTTTGCTCAGTGCAACCGGATCGAGCGATTGACGCTGACCAACTGCTCCAAACTGTCGGACACCGGCGTGTCAGACCTGGTGGAAGGGAATCGCCATTTACAGGCGTTGGATGTGTCGGACTTGGGGCATCTCACCGACCACACTCTGTACACGGTGGCTAGAAACTGTCCCCGGCTTCAGGGGCTCAATATCACGAACTGCACCAAGGTGACGGACGACTCCTTGCTTGTCGTGTCTCGTAATTGCCGACAGATCAAACGGGTAGGTGGCCATGGCTACTCGGATTCTACATCATGGTTGCTAATATGTGACAGTTAAAACTGAACGGAGTCGCGCAAGTCACGGACAAATCAATTCTGTCGTTCGCTCAGAGCTGCCCGGCCATCCTGGAGATTGACCTTCATGACTGCAAGCTCGTCACCAACAAGTCGATAACCGCCTTGATGGCGACACTGAATAATCTCCGTGAGCTACGACTGGCCCACTGCACCGAACTTGACGATATGGCGTTCTTGGAGCTGGCACCGCATATTACTTTGGACAGCCTGCGCATCCTGGACTTGACATCCTGCGAGAATGTTAGAGACGCTGCCGTTGAGCGTATTGTGGCATCGGCGCCGCGCTTACGGAACCTAGTGCTCGCAAAGTGTCGACTTATCACGGATCGCGCAGTCTGGGCCATCTGCAAGCTCGGCAAGAATCTGCACTACGTCCACTTGGGACACTGCTCCAACATCTCCGATGCAGCCGTGATGCAGTTGGTCAAGTCCTGCAACCGTATCCGGTATATCGACCTGGCGTGCTGTACCCGTCTCACGGACGCAAGTGTGCAGCAGCTGGCTACGTTACCCAAACTCCGGCGTATCGGCTTGGTCAAGTGTGCCAACATCACGGACAACAGCATTCTAGCCTTGGCGGGTCCCAAGGCTTCCCACCACTCCGCAGGAATCAGTAGTCTAGAGCGGGTGCATCTCAGTTACTGCACTTTTCTCACCCTCAGAGTATGTAGTCGAACGATGGCTTTTTCTGTCTTTGTCTGGGACAATACTAACTGGCCACAGGGAATCCATGCACTGGTCAACAGCTGTCCTCGTCTGACACACCTCAGTCTGACGGGGGTTCAGGAGTTCTATGCGCGAAAAGAATTGACCGAGTTCTGCCGCGAGGCGCCTCCAGAGTTCACGCCCCAACAGCGCGACGTTTTCTGCGTATTCAGCGGCGATGGTGTGAACCACTTGCGTAACCAACTGAATCATATGATTCCCCCTCCACCGCCGCAGGACATGACGGAGGCGACCATGTATGATGACGACGAAGAACTGGACGAGGATGAGGGCCAGGTGACTGGCCTGATGCGCGCGACGGCGGCCACGGCGATTAATGACGATGATTACATTGACATTGGACATACACCCAGTTGATACCCATACCCTTTTTCCTCTCCTTATTTTTGAGCGTGTCTTGTGCATCGGATTTTAACATCTATCATTTTTTTTGTGTATGGTTTTACAAACATGGTGTCGTTTTCATTTCTCTATTGTTCTTCCCATTCTCCATTTTCTTGGGCCAAGCAGCGAGGGGTTCCAATTTCTGTTTGTGTGCACACAGGGATTTCCGTTATGAATTTGCATAGTCGGTAGTGGTGTATCTGGGAGCTGGTTGTTGGGATGTGTTTTCTTCGGGCTGAGGCTGATTGGCGATTGCGTTCGTCTTTGGGGGGTGGGACTTCAACTTTCTCTGCCTTCTGCGCTCTGCCTGCCATGATACATCGCTTTGGGGGGGAATGCAGAGTGAGATGAACAACACAAATCAGTTTCTTCCTAAGGGATTATCGATATGAGCAGTGATCTATCATCGGGAGGACAGAGGGAGGGTTGGTCTGCCTACCGTTACCGTATTAGAATTGAGTAACTTATAGAGCAGCAGCAGTCTAGTTGTTGCGGGAATGCAATTACACTGAGAGTGGATTGGCGATTGAGGTTCATGAGATAAAAAGAAAAGCATTTGGAGTAGATCTCAAGTATAACTTTATACTACTATTGCACTGTATACACACATACTGTACGGAGTACACATAGTAGATAAATTGAGTGAAAGTGACTGAATGGGCTGGCGGTGACATAATGACGGGTTCGCATGGGCCGATCAACCATCAATCATCATTCCATTTCCGATCCGTTCCTTCTCCGCATTCTCTCCCTTCCACTTCACTGTAGCTCCCAGCTCAGTTCCAGTCCCCGCTTCAGCTCAGCCCAGCCAGAAGTAGGCTTGTGCAGCAGCTGAGAGCGACTACGGACACTTCTCTCAGCTAGTACGAATCAAGACGGAAAAAAAAAAAAAGGAAGCGAGGCGGGAGAGAGAAAGAGAGACAGAGAGAGAGATGGCTACCCCGCGCGCCAATCCACTGGCCTTCACGCGATGGCCCGTGACTCTCATTACGACCGCCGTCTACCTCGCCTTTGTGATCCCCCTCCTTGTCGTCCACCACGTGCTCCCCTCGGCGCCCAGTGCATCCTCCACCCCTGACGGTCTCGATCTCCACGAAGCCTGGGCCGATCTGCAAGTCCTGACCAACGGGTACCATCCGTATAATTCGCGCCGGAATGACGAGGTCCGAGATTGGCTTCTCCGCCGAGTAAAGGAGATTGTCCACGACAACGACGCGGATACACCCGGACAGTCTGACCACAGGGCTTACCAGTACCAGGGCTTCCATGAGCCTCCTACGATCTACAATGCCGACGACGAATCTCGACCCACCGTCTACATCTTCGACGACAACCAGTCCAACCTCTCCTTCGTCGGCAATACCCTCAAGTCGTCCAACACCGCGGTCTACTTTGAAGGCACCAACCTCCTAGTCTACATCCGTGGGGAGGATGATGATGATGTTGACCTGGTTCTGGGATCGGAAGGAGGAAGCGGAGGTGTGCTGGTGAACGCCCACTATGACAGCGTCTCCACCGGCTATGGCGCGACGGATGACGGGGTCGGCGTCGTCACCTGTCTTCAGTTGATCAAGTACTTCACCACCCCGGGCCATGCCCCGCGTCGCGGCGTGGTGGTGCTCTTCAACAACGGCGAGGAGGATTTCCTTAACGGAGCGCGCGTGTTCAGCCAGCACCCGCTGTCCAGGTTCACGCAGACCTTCCTGAATCTGGAGGGGGCCGGCGCCGGTGGCCGGGCGATTCTATTCCGAGGCAGTGACACCGAAGTGACGAGGAACTATAGGCGCGCGAAACACCCGTTCGGGTCCGTGTTGGCGGCAAATGGGTTTGAGGTCGGCCTCATCAGTTCCCAGACGGACTATGTCGTGTTCGACGGGGATCTGGGCATGAGGGGCTTGGATGTCGCGTTTATGGAGCCTAGGGCCAGATATCATACTGACCAGGATGATTCCAGGCACACGACTGTGGAAAGCCTGTGGCACATGCTGGAGGCGGCGGTGAAGACGACCGAGGGGCTGGTCAGTGATGATAGTAGTGATGGTGGGAAGAGAGGATCGCGTGGGGTGTGGTTCGATCTCTTCGGAGCGACCTTCGTGGTGTTCCAGCTGCATACCTTGTTTGCGCTGTCGGTGACGATGCTCATTGTCGCCCCGCTGGGCTTGTTGGTCACGAGTGTTGCCCTGAGCAGGGCCGACAAGATGTACCTGTTCCGGTCCACGGTCAAGTCGTCGCTCGACGATGGGGAGGCCGTGTCGCTGCAGGGACTGCGCGGGTTCTTCCGGTTCCCCTTTCTGTTTGTGATCCCGACGGCCGTCACGGTTGGGTTGGCGTACCTGGTGACCAAAGTCAATCCGTTGATCATCCACAGCAGTGAGTATGCCGTGTGGGGCATGATGCTGTCAGCCTGGACGTTTCTGGCCTGGTTCATGTCGCGCGTCGCCGACTTTGCGCGTCCCTCGGCCTTCCACCGCGTCTATACTTTGACGTGGATGTTTGTGCTCGCCTGGGTGATGCTGGTGATTGCGACGGTCTACGAGAACCAGTGGGGTCTGGCTGGCGGGTATTGGGTCTTCTTCTCCTTCTGTGGCACGTTCTTGGCCACCTGGATCTCCTACCTGGAGCTGTTCGCCCTGCCTCGGAAGTCAGAGTACGCCAGTCAGTATGCGCCGGTGCCGGCGTCGTCGCGCCGTCCCAGCAGTTATGGCGGCAGTCGACTGGGCACAGCCTCGGGCGAGGAACACACCTCGGAACACGATGGAGACGAGCACGTCGATTCCGACGACGAGCAACCCACCGAGTCGACGTCTCTGCTGGGAGGTGGCCAGCGTACGACCTTTGCCAACTACGTGCGCGTCACGGGGGAGCATGAGGGTCACGACGAACCCAGTGACCCGCACGTCTACGGCCATGAGCAACGCTGGAGCGCACACCTGCCGAATTGGACCTGGGTGCTGCAATTCCTGCTGACGGCACCGATTGTGCTCATCATGGTCGGGCCCCTGGCGTTGCTGCTGACCAGCGCATTGCATCAAACCGGCCAAGACGGCAGTTCCTCTCTGTTCATCTACATCTCCATCGCAGCCCTGACTACCTTCCTTCTCACCCCGCTCCTCCCTTATATCCACCGCCACACATATCATATCCCTCTGTTCTTGCTGGCGATTTTCTTGGGGTGCCTGATCTACAACCTGATCGCGTTCCCGTTCTCGGCGTCCAACCGCCTGAAGATCTTCTTCCACCAGGAGATCAACCTTGACACGGCCGCAACCAACGTTTCGTTAATCGGGATCTCGCCCTTCGTCGCCCAGGTGGCCCACGCGCTTCCGAGCGTCCACGGCCAGGAGCTAGCTTGCCGTCCGCTCGCTGCACGCACGAAGTGCTCGTGGCCCGGTCCCATGCCGGATGTTGTGCCCTCGGCGCCCGAGGACTACAAATCCTGGCTGACCTTCAACGTGTCCGCCACGGAGTCCTCCTCGCATTCCGCGGAGCAAGGCGACAACCTCCAAACCGCTCAGATCCAACTGTCCGGCCTCAACACTCGCGCCTGCAGGATCACCTTCGACACCCCCATCTCCTCCTTCAACGTGGCCGGCAGCGCGTACGACCCCCGCTTTCCGCACACGTCCCCGCTGGGCACGCAGGAGATCCGCCTGTGGAGCCGCGAGTGGGAGAATACCTGGACCGTGGACGTGGAGTGGACCGTGCCCCCGCCGTCCCTCGCGCCGCCCACCACGGAGGTCGTGACCGATGCCGCGTCCGGCGAAGAGTACGTCCTCGTCGACTCCCTGTCCTCAGCTGCAGCTGCAACCGGCGATAGTGATGACAACAACGACGATAAGGCCAAGTTGAAAGGACGGGTCGTCTGTCTCTGGAGCGACCACAATCGTATCGGAGCCATTCCCGCCCTCGACGAGGTGAAACAGTATGCGCCGGTCTGGGTGGCTGCTACCAAGTTCTCGGATGGGTTGGTGGAAGGGTATAAGGAATTCGAGATTTGATTTGATTTTTTTTGTGGCCGTTGTTTGTCTCTACGTCTTCCACAGCCTGAAAGCTCCTGATTAGCTTTTTCTGGTAGGTTATGGTTTCTGCTTTGGCCTGACCTTACCTTTACCTTTTTATTTTTGCATCCGATTGTACGCTCTGTTTCTTGTTTTGTGTGTGTATGTCTCTGTGGGACTCGGTTTTAGCTTTTATGGAAGGATTTGTCTGCGTTGTTGTTTGGGCTGCTTGGTGAGGGTAGGTTGGGAGAGGGGGGGGGGGTTAAATGTTCATGCTGGAGGTTATGCTGATGCTGATGCTGATGCTGTAATGCTATTGGTGTTACTACTGGAACTCATACTCAGATGACGATACGCGCATAGTATAACTGTCCTGTGGTAGAATGTGATACATGTATGATACCATGCCAGCAACCATCCATACCCCATACGGTCGCTCGACTCCCAGTGTGCGCGCACTTGTAGTTTCCCCTTCTTACTTGCCTACTGGCCTACTTGCCTACTCGCCTACTGCATGAGAAACACGCTCAAAATACCTCAAAGTACTTCTTCCCTCGCTTTCTTACTTCCGGAAAATACGGCAGTGAGCCTATGTTGAAGCAGGAGCGGGAGCCAGAGCATAAATGTCATGAGTGTTCGATCGCCAGGTTATAATACATTAACTAGAAGAGATTCTGAGAAAAAAAAAGGTTTAAGAGTGTCAAAAAAGAAGAAAAAAGAATATAAACTAGCATACACTCCTTTTCCCTTTCTGCCATCTGCCACAGAAGGCAGAGAGAACTTGCCCTGTAAACCGGCAGAAACATTAATAGAAGCCTCTCCAAAGATTTCTATTTATGGGGACTGAATTTGGGGGATAAATAAAGTTATGTGAAGAATTTCAAATCAGGTTTCGTCTCGTGGCCTTCCGAGGCGGTCGTCAATCAATAAATTGGTAGGGTGGTGTGATAGGGGGGTGGATCGGTGGGAGGAGAGGTTGGTGAGTAGGTGTGAATGGGTTTTGTATGTAGGTGGATTTTGTTTTTGTTTTTGTTTTCCCTCCTGTTTGTGAGGGGAGCCAGGCACCAATGATCACCCCTTCATGGTGGCTAGGAAGGAGTCGAGGTTGTATTCTTCCTGGTACTGGCGGTCGTCCCAGAGCTCGCCCAAATCGTCCAGCCAGCCCTTCTTGCCCTTTTCTTTGACCTCGCCGTCGATGTCCACCATGTCCACCTCGTTGCCGGTGGGCTCGCTGGGTTTCTCGGCGTTGTCGGCGGTTTCGCCGAGGTTGAACAGGTCCAGCAGTTGATCCGTGTCCATTGTATTCAGGCCAGCGTTCTGTTGGTTGACTACCGTCGAGGCGACGTCGATCTTGAATCGTTGCAGACTAAAAGTTTTCCGTGGTTAGTACGTTATGCTCAGATGAGGTTTTGAGGACAGAAAGAAAACTTACTTCAAGATCTTCTCCTCCAATGTACCTCGCGTGATCAACCGGTAGACATTGACGACCTTCTTCTGACCGATACGATGGGCACGATCCATGGCCTGGATATCCTTCTGCGGGTTCCAGTCGTGTTCCACGAAGATCACCGTGTCGGCTCCCGTCAGGTTCAGACCCAAACCACCGACGCTGGTGGTCAGAAGAAGAACGTCATAGCTCGGGTCGGAGTTGAAGCGGTTGACAATGTCTTGACGCTTGGTTGCCTCGACTCCACCATCCAACCGAAGATATTGGACCGAAGGAAGAAGCTTCCGCAGGACCTCACTCTGGACAATGTCAAGCATCTCCTTCATCTGGCAGAAGATCAGGGCTCGGTGCGGGCTCACGTAGCTGGTTCCCGTGCCCAGGTCGCCCTCCGTCGGTGGATCAATGCCGATTCCGCAGTCGAGAAGCAGGTCGCGCAGAGCGCTGAGCTTCGGCGCGTGGGACACGTCCCGGATGTTGGAGTGCTTGGTGGTCAGATACTGCTGGACCTCGTTGTACTGCTTGTGGCCTTCCTTCACCACCAGCGCGGGAGAGTTGCAGAGACGCCGCATGTACTGCAGTGCTTGGAAGATATGCTCCTTATCCGATTTTTCGGAGCTTCCCAGCTTGTCGGCCAGCTCCTTCTGCTCCTTCTTGGAGAAGTCCTCAAAGAGTTTCTTCTGCAGCTCACTGGGATCACAGTAGTAGTTCTGGATGATCTTCGGTGGCAGGTCGTTCAAGACCTCCTCCTTCAGACGACGGAGCAGGAACGGCAGCACCTGCTTGTGCAGCGCCTCAATCGCTAGTGCGCCGGCTTCCTGTTCTTTGGAAGACGACTTGCTGAATCGACTGGCCGCAATGGGCTTGGCGAATCGGTCCAAGAAGACCTTCTCTGTACCCAAGAACCCGGGCATCAAGAAGTCGAACAACGACCACAGTTCCAGTACGTTATTCTGAATGGGTGTACCAGAGAGAATCAACCGATGGTTGCTCTGGAGGCGCTTGACCGCAATCGTCACCTTGGCCTTGGGGTTCTTGATCAAATGACCCTCGTCTAGCACGCAGTAATTCCAGCTGGTCGGACGCAGAACGTCGTTGTCATTGCGGCAGATATCGTACGATGTTACGACGATATCCGCCTCGCTGAGGCTCTCTTGCAGTCTGGCGCGCTCTGCTGGGGGCCCCACATAAGCAACACAGTTCAGGAACGGAGCGTACTGCTTGACCTCTTGCTGCCAATGGCCAGAAAGAGAGGGCGGGCACACGATCAGAGACGGAAGCTTCCGGACCTCTGGCGCTTGGGTCTTGGCGAACTCTTCGGCTCGCAGATGATGATCACTTGCGACAATGCAAATCGTTTGCAGGGTTTTACCGAGACCCATATCGTCACAAAGAATACCATGGAGATTGTAGCGGTTCAGAAAAGCAAGCCAGTTGACACCTTCCTGCTGATAAGGTCTGAGCTCCGCTTTGATCGCGACTGGCAATGAGAACTCTTCGACCTTCTTGGAATCCAACATCTGAGCCATGAACTTCCTCTCGCGATCACGACCCTTGAGCAGCTCCTCGGAGAGACCGGGAGGGTCGGGAATGCCAGCTTCCAAGGGAACGAGTTTGACTAGCGTTGCGAAAGACGTCGTCGCGAGCAGTCTCACGTCGTTGTCAGAATCGCTCATGCGTCCAAGCACGGGTACGACAAGGAAAATGACGTATGGAAGGATACGATCCTCCATCACATGGATCAGATGATAAATACACTCGACAGCTCCTTGACGGTGATGAACGTCCAAGGGGTCGTTGATGGTTGGTAGCACCTTCTCTACTAACATCGTCATTCCCTCTACCGAGATGACGCTGCAGATAGTCGCGAAGCACTTGGCGGCCGCATATCGGATGACCGACAGACGACACTGCAGAGCCTTGATAATAAGAGGCATGAGACCGACTACCCAGGTGTGGAGTCCACGATCGAATTTAGGTAGCAGGGCGCGCAATGTCGACAAACCATCAACGACTTCCTGACCCAATTCATTGTCCGGGTTAAGAATGTCCTCTGGAAGACTCTCGGTAAGCGTGTCCTTAAGTGGCCGCTCGACCAGCGTGGCAAGATTGGGCACTTTCTCCAAGAGATCAGGACCAAATCTGACTGCCAGTTGCTCGAGAGCGTCTTTAGCACCCCGGCGCATAATTCGCGCCGCCTTCGCCTCTCGTTCAAACTTGGCTGCGTCGGGATGATCCCGTCGGTCCTCCTCCTTCCGCAGTGAAAGAATGGACTTCTCCAGCGAGGCGTTGTGGTGGAATTCGGGGGTCTCAGACGAGTCCACACAGCAGTATTTGACCAGGTTTCCAATGACTTTGTCGACCGGTCCGCGTTTGGCTGCCGTGGTGTAGTACTCCACCAAGGTTGAGATCGCCGTAGCAGAACGCTGTTGAAGTTCAGCATTTTCTTCCTTCTTGATGCTGTCCATCATGCCCTTGATAATATGACCCGGCTTCTTTGGAATGTCATGCAGGGCCACCAGCGCACCAGCCGCAGCTGCCAGCACCCGAAGATCCCTCTGTTCCCGAACATTCTTTGCTTCTTCGACAGAGTTTTCTGCGGTTGCCCGCGTGTCATTCAGGACCTGCAGAGCAGTAATGCGCTGAGCGGGTGCCAGGCCTTTCTTCAGCCGCTCGAAGTCCGGTCCGATGACCTTCTCAGCATCTGCCAATGAGAACGCACTTGGGCCGGCCTCGGCGTCTCCTTGAACAACGACAGCAAGAGTCGGGAGTCTTGAGCTAGGAACATGGGCATGGTCGCGGAAGGCATTGAGCAGAGAGTGACACTGGGCGCGGGCAACATGAAGATAGCATGCAATATCGCCGTACCACAGCGGTCGGTCGCCTTCGATGATCGGACGCAAATGCTCGCAGAGAGTCGAGGAGTACTTGCTGCTTGGGCCGGCCACTCTCGCATATTCCTCGATGACCATCGCTGACGAGAGCTGAGACGTGGATGCGGAGTGCTTCAAGCCCTCCACGATAGACTGCCACAGACTCGGGAGTGCGCTATTGTCCCAGACAGAAAGAAGCTGGCCCAGCGCCTTGGCGGCATATATCTTGGACCGTAACATGGTATCGGCGCCAACCAAGTCAATATCGCCCTGGAGCATGTGGCCGTCCACGTTATGAGCCGACATGGTCGGAACTTCCTTCTTTTCCACCTTGCGTCCACGCTTCTTGGTCCCATCAGACTGTGCACTGACTGCACTCGGGGAGGACTTGGCTGGTGCAGCAGCGCTCATCGGGAATGGAACGCCCGATGGCTTGATAAAGAGGGAAGCATTCATGGGAATAGGGTACCGAGGAACGCCGAAGGGAGACATTGTCAGAGTGATCAAGGGTTGGATGTGGCTCAGAAGGTCAGCTTCGGTCTGGAACAGGCCGCGCGACTCCAGCGCTCTAAGCAGCTCCGACCACACCTGAAGAGAAAGCTTGAGCACACCCTCGTTACGCTCGACTAGCAAGTTCTGGAAAATCAGACGCAAAGCCTTGCCATTCACCCAGTCATTCGTGCCCTCGCCCTCAAGCTGCAGGAAGGTAATGAGAGCCCGGAGAACTGCTGAACGGACGCTGGTGATTGTGTGTCGCAGGAAAGGGTAAAGGCGAGGAACCAGGTTTCCGAACGAGGACTCAGAATCCACGGACGCATTTGCTTTCATCGCATCCAGAACTTCGCGGAATGTGCAGAGCTTGGCCAGAAGATCCATGACCGAGCCCGTACTCGCGCTCAGGTCATCTTGTAGGTTTGACAAACAGTCCCAAACAATGGTCATCAAATTACCCAATGTGCTTTGTCGGGAAGCCACAAATTCCTCAGCCATTGGAACCAGGGTTGCAGCACTAACAGCCCGCACATCGTCGTCAAAGTCTCCTAATCCCTTCATCACAGCCTCTAATACGCCGTCCATAAGTTCACGATCCTTCACCAGAATATCTTTGCGGACCGCAACCAAGTACCGGAGACCGATCATACCACCGTGGCAGACCTCCCAAATGGGCCGGTCCAGGTTCAGATCTTTTTGCATGATGATGCGGTACAGACACTTGTAGACTGACACCACGGAACGCGACGGGAGCTGGGACAAGAGTGCACCTAGTGTTTGACCCACAGTCTCTCTGATGGGCGCCACAACATTGTCGGAGATGTAATCACCAAACCGGTCAAGTATGAGAACACAAAGTAATCGGCAGGCGAGGTCGTCCAGATACTGCCGGTTGAGGACATTGTTCTCGGCCCTACTCTTACCTCGTACACGACCTGCACCAGCACCTTGAACGCGGATAACCTCCCGAAGTGCCATTGCGGCTCCGTGGCGCACCTCCCAGTTAGGATCGAAAATATCTACCATGAGGAACTCGCACATGGGATCATATGGCCATGAGTTGCTGGGACCCTCATCAGTGATCTCTGGTTGGATGTAGGATTTTTCTGGGACAACCGATCCTTTGAACTCCGAAACGATCTTCTGATCGTCGTCGCCACCGGTCGACCGCTCAAGGTTGAAGTAATCCTGCTTTACGTCGCCATTGCGCTCCTCACCGTTCTCCGCTTTAATCGGGTGAGGAGTAACAGCTGAAGGAGTGGTAACGTTATCCGACGGTCTGCGCGTCGACAGATCCACGACTCGGACCTTGTTCGCGCCCATCTTTGCGCTCTGCTTGTTCTTCCGCTTCAGTTGGTTCAATTGTCGCTTACTGAGACCGGCCTCCTCGCCGTTGGCGGGTTCCATAGGCGATGCAAGAGGGGTGGTAGAGGATAGATGGTGGATACTATCCCTATGTTGGGGAACTTCCTCCTTGATTCCCGGTGTCTTCAAGACCAGATCGCCGTCATCAATCAGATCCTCCTCAATGTACTCTCCTGCGAGACCCAGACGAGCGTGCAAGGTTTTCTTCTGGTGCTGGAGTCGAGCGGCTGGATCCATGCCGGCCAATGAGTATTCGTACTCCTTGCCTGCGCTTCCCAACAGCCGCTTGCCGTATTTCAGGATGGCGGCGATATTCATGGTTTCAAGCCTTAGGAGATCACTGGCAGTGGCGGCCGATTCGCCTTCCGACTTGATCTCGACGCCGCCATCTTCATCGTCAGCCTGTTTGATGTGATCGCCATCTTCCTCATTAGGGTCGAAGGTGTCTGCATTAGTGACGATCAAGCCGATTGCCTTAGCAGCGGCTGTTCTAGTGTCCCAAGACTTAGAACGCAGATAGGGCAGAATGCGACCGAGAAGGTTGAAGAGTTCATCTGGATGCTGCTTCTGGACGTCGGCCAGCTGTTGAGCCGCAGTATTGCGGATGAGCGGCGTGCTGCCTGTCTCAAGTAACCTGCAGGTGGTGATTGGTCAGTTCGCTCCCTTCCTTAGGTAAGCGTGCAGGAATGGGGAAGCTGTCGATTACTCACGTGACAAGACGGTCAAGTCTAGAACGAAATGGGTTAGTGGCCGGTACCAGACGGAAGCGGAATGGCAGGAAACTTACCTGGAAGTCATGGCGGATTTTTGTGACAAGGAAGCTATACAGATGGTCGTAATATAACACAGCCAAGAATAATCAAGAAAAAAAGGAACTGATAGCACAACAAAAGGCAGGGGTATCGTGAACGAAGCCGAAGAAAGTGACCAGAAGTATTAACAAATTAATGGTAAAAATCAATCTCCTTTCAGTAGCACACCACAACCCCCTTCCGGAAATTAAGTAAAGCAAGAGAACGACGGAGAGTGGAGGAGAGGGAGACGGATGTAAAGTAAACACGACGGTTACACCCACGTCACAGCCATCGAGTCAACGTCGAGTATGCGTCAAAGGGGAAGAAGGGCAAGGTTAAAAGGGGAGTGGAAAGAAATGAATAAAGAAAAAATCCAGACACACTGGACAGAATCAGTTCCGTCAGATCACAGGGCGATCGGAGCGAAAGCTTTATGAGTGGAGATCCGGTCCTAATCTAGGCACGGTTGTCACCAGGTGGAAGTAAAATGACCGTAGCCGAGCTGAAGGTTGTTAGAATGAAAAGATAGTCACTCCGCGTGGATGAAATGAATCATGTGAATCATGAAGGATCCCGGAATGGAATAGAATTCGAGGTAATGATATCAGGAATTCGAATTCCACAAGTATAACAAAAAGAGAATTCGGGAGATGACGGGAATGTGATGGGAGTTGACGATGAAGAGTCGGAGACCAAACTAAGACAGGCTGGGTTGAGTGGTACCTGTGGTGGTGGTAGTACTCAGTACGTAGCTCAACTTTGTAGCCTTGTAGTTAATGTAGGTAAAGTAGGTAAAAGTAGGTTAAGTAAAGTAGTAGTCAGTCTGTAAGTAAGGACGGCGGACGGACGGGGCGTGTACCGGGGCTGGGGCTGCACAGGAGCATCAACAAGAGCTGCTCGGCCTGCCCTCGAGGTCACGCAGCCTGTTTATATCATTGGGGGCATCTTTGCCTGGGCGCGCCTACCCATACTTGGGCCCTGTGCACTAGCCTGCTTCCGGATTAGTGCACCCCACTCCCGTAAAGGTTTTCGTCGGGTCACGTGATTTATTCTCCCTGCGCAGAAAAAAAAAGAAAGAAAAAAGAAAAAGAAAAAAGAAGGATAATCAGTAGCTGCTTGCTTGAGGTTGATTGTGCAAGTAATTCTTAATCTGGCCTATGTCTACTCTCCTGCTTGCATGCCAACCCAGACACACACTCACTCAACGGATGGTAGGCTATACCAGATACCAATAATAATGAACTATCGCTATAACTAACTTATTACGATTCCGTCAGCGGCCGGACGGGGATAGGCCCTGCGTGTTGCATTCAATAATCCACCACGCAAAGATGAATATATGTATGTAGCAACCTGCAAATGACTTGCGTGCGTTTCCAGTGAGACCGCCATGTGAGCTTGTTTCGATCGCCCCCTCAATAGCGTGCCAAGAAAATGCCAGATGGCCTCCTGCTTCCGCCGCAAATTCTTCGTCGCGCAATCCCATCCCGTGTGGTCCAACGACAACGACGACTGCGGTGATTCTTCTGCTGACGACTCCTTTGAAGGTCGCTAACGACTTAAGGAGTCGATCAGCCTTGAGAAGTTCCCCAAAGATGACAGCCTCTGAGCCTCGGATGACGTGGGAGATGGAGGAACCAATCACGTCGCATACATTGGTGCTTTAAAATCCCATGGACTAAATCCGGCTAGATATATATATAGTTCAGTTCCAGTTATCGAATTCTGCCATCATGTCCTGCAACACAGTGATATTGCCTACACACCAATATATCTAAACATCCCCTATGATTGTAATATTGCAGAGACATGTGGAAGAGAATCAGAATCATTGATATATCACGTATGACGCCTTTACACGTTGCCTTGCCTTGCTTTGTTTTAGTTGTTTCTTTGTCTTGCCAATCTACCTCTTAACTATAACACGTGCCAAATAGAATCTGTCCCCGGAACTACACAGCATTAATCGGGGCTCGACAAATGACAAACAGTGCCATCTAGGTATGTGCACCATCAATTGCTGGAATTGAACTATGCAGCCATGATCTTTCATCATCATGGGTGGAGCGCGACCATTGGCATTGCAGACCTCAAGCTTGGGCGCAATACAGCCCACGCAGGCACAAAAAGGAAAATTGTCCATTTCTATACATTGAAGGATCTCGCAGTGATGAACAGACAGAACGGATAAACAAACCAGCAGAATCTTGGTAGTAATTGAAACAATCAACATGAAATCCACACTCCATAAATGCGCACAACATGCCTCTCTCATGCCCGTGTCAAGAACGCAGCCGACTCTTCTTCCTTCCCTAGCAGACCTAGACTGCGGATCTGTTCGGCCTTGGGCGCATTGTCGCGGGGGTGGGCGGCCTCCGCCTTGCGGTAGGCAGCCTGCATCTTCATCGTGCGCATGATCTAGAAATCCCAAGAAGGCGAGGACGTCAGTAAGAGGACTACTACTCTTCCCCCCTCGTCTACTCCGGTCCCTCTCGGCGATCGAAATCTTTAAAGGTGACAGATCACAATCGGTTCATTCAAGCGTACCTCCTTCTTGTGGTGCAGGCACTCGTGGTAATCCTCCAAGGCAGGCAGACACTTCTTCTTGCCAACCTCACCCTCGGCCGAGTTGACAACATAACAACCCAGGACCTCTTGCCAGAAGTTGTAGCAGCGGGAAGGACCTGCGAGAGAGAGCGAGATCAGCCGACAATGTCCGCGGCGAAGCTGTCAAAGCGGGCACCTGGGTCGGCGAAGCCAGCCAAAGTGGCAGTCAATTGCCCGCAGCCCAAGCAGAGAAGTAACATACCGCCGTTGTTACCGAAGCCGGAAGCCATTGTGAGATTTGAGAGAGGGTGGAAATAGGAGATCGAACGGGCGGAGGGCGTCGAGCGTACGTAGAGGGGGGCGGAGGGATTGCTGGAGCGGAGGTTTGAGTGAGTTGAGTAAGTGGGTGCAGTGAGCGATCGAGGTTCATTCTTCCACCGCCCGGGATTGATTGGTTGATTTGCTGGTTTCTGCTTTCCGCCTCGGAAGTCGGTCTGTGCACGGGACGGGAGGCTTGACGTCTTTCCAAGTGGCTCACGAACACATCACCCTCTTCCCTTCAAGCTTCTTCTTCTTGTTTTTACTCATTTAGCCTGGATCTCCTTGTTTTCTTACGCCATGGCCAGTTCCTCTCGGCTCTCAGGTGCTCATGCGATTTTGTTAGCCATTCACTTTTGTGTCACCGGCGATGTCTCCCGGTTATCGCAACTCCAAGCTCAATACCCTCGCTGGCTGCCAACCGAGCGCCTCTTGCGCATCATACTGACCTTCCTCCCCGAGAGTTGCCCGCCCAAAACATACACATCCGTCGTGGAAGCCTTGGTAGATGGAGAGCACGCCATATCAACGGCTGCAGAGCTTGACACATCTGCGGTCCAGAATTTGACCGAGACCATTGCACGGAAACGAGTACGCAAGGTTCGTTTACTGCCGTTAAGGCATCCCGATGACGAGGACACCGACGATTCAACCGACCTCTTGACCCAATTCTTGATCCACCGCGCCCACCGCATCGACTCCGAAACCGCCCTTCAACCCCTCATTCTCGATCTCCTCGTACCATTCTATCCACGCTCTCCCATCCTCCGCACATGGTTAATCTCGAGTCTACTGCCCTTGTTGCGGTTGAACTACGAATATTACCCCAGCCAGGACGAGACCTTCTCTCTGGATATCCTTGAGTCGATGGACAACAGCATCGCTATTAATGTTTTACTTTCAATGACCGGCAACACGAAAACTAGTATGGATTTAGTGCAGAACCTCCGCGGGCTGGTGGGTGCGTGGATGTATGGCAGCAACAGGACCAAGCGGCGGAAGCTCAACGAAGTCGCGCAGCAGAACACGCTCTCACTTCCGCAGGACGATGTGAGACCGAAGACGAATGCAGGGGTAGGATGGCAGCAGGTTAACGAGTGGCTGCTGGCGCGCAGCTTGGTAGATCACGAGAGCGCAGTCAACGCATTCACAAACTGGGATGGCCCGGAGGATGTTGACCTGGGAGGCTATGCCGAGGAGGACCCTCACCTACCACGAGGCGAGCTGAAAGACTTGCGGATGCGGTATGGGCAGACAGGACTGGCCGTTGTCTACGCCAATGCCGATGTCAGCGCAGCGGCCTTGGATGGGTCGACCAAAGTCCTTGCGCGAATCGCTAGTTTCTTGGACCTGGAGCAGCATTTGTCTTTGAGGGATGATGATGCTGAACTACCATCAGTGGTATTTGACTCGGACCAGATCTCGTCTACCTCGAGAGTCTCCCTCATGCAGAATGCCCTTCTCACAACATCGAACCCGCTCACTCGTCCGTCTGCCGCTTCCATCTCGTTCCTCAGCGCCATTTGCGTCTCTCTCCAGGTGCTGAGTGAGCTCGGCCATCCTATGCCCTGTCGTACAGCCGCAAACCTTTGTCTCCACAGCAATGTAGATACGCAACTGCTCGAAATGCGCGGTGTGGTTCAATCTATGATCAGACAGAGCAAGCCGGGCCGAGACTGGGGCAAGGTTCGTAGGCAATTGCTTTGGCTGCGTGGTTGGGTCGCAGACCACACTTCTCGACAGAATAACATTGGCCCTGCCTACCATGGTATCTTCTGGAGAGTAGAACGGGAGGTCGTTGAAGTCGAAGTCTTGAAAGCTTTGCTTGAAGTCAGAGGTAAGCAGCTCTCTTTACCCTGTCATCAGCATATCAACTAACAGGGACAGAATACAAACTCGCCGTCGACATTTATATCAGCTCCGACTCAACCCTGACGTCGTCCAAGGTCGAAGAGGCTGTCAAAGAGACCATTTACACAGCGTATGATAATGCAAGCAACGGCAATCGAACTCGTGGTGGCATGAAGAGAGCCTACGAAATGTAAGTTCTGTGCTAGTTCCATGTATCCATGTATCACAGCTGAGCGACACTAATGTCACCACCAGCCTTCAAGCCTTTCAGCCGCACTTTTCAGGCTCGATTGCTCTCAAGCAGGTCGGCGCTCTTATCTCAGCCACGCACTCGCTGTCCTTTTACTCCCTCACCTTACAGCACGGCGTCCCCTTCCAGCCCGTCAGCATCCGCGTCCACTCCGATCCTCTCTCCCTCATTGAAAAAGTACTCGAACAGAATCCCAAGAGCTACACCAAGGTTGACGACCTTCTGGCCATAGGCCGTAATCTTGTCGCAGCCGGCTTCTCTCCGCGGCTCTCAGACCACCATGAAGCTTCCACTCTGGGCCCTCTCTCCGAACAGGATGCCATCCTCACTGCCGAACGCCGCATCATGTCTCTAGCCATCAACTCCGCTCTCACCTCCCACGACTTCGGAACAGCCTACTCTTACATTCTCACTCGGCTTACACCCACCTCGTCCGCATCCACGCCCGACACGACACTCACAGACGACATTACCTGGCGTACGGTGTATTCCGCCGGACGGTATCGCCCACCACCGCCCAGCACGTCTACCCCTCCCACCACGCAGTCCCAAATCACCCACCTCACCCAAAGAATGGAGCTTCTCTCCCTCGCCCTAATCCTCGTCCCCTCCGACCACCCGGATCCACTCCCAGAGATTCTAGGTGCCTGGCGTCGCTGCGACGAGGAACTCGGCAATCTCCGCACGCAAGAATCCCTCGAAGAAGATATCTGGGACACCAAGGGCGACCTCACATCCTCCCTCACCATGCAGAGCCTCCCCGGCGGGTTTGGGCCCGCCGATTCCTCCGAGCAGGACGCTCTGGAAACCCGACAGCACCAAGCCCGCCGTGCCCGCGCCCACACCTCGCACCATCGCCTCAACCACGAAGAAGCGCCCATGGGCCTCTTCGAGGTCGCGCGAGGCGCCGCCCTAGCCCTGCAGAAGAATGCCTTCCCGCTCCGCGCAGCGGCCACCAAGACCACCACCACTGCCTCACCATCCTTCCCCCACCACGATAACAACGGGTTCACACCTTCCTCCTCCCACACAGCGACCGCAAGCTCCTCGCACGCACGAACCGACTCCGTAGTCTCCGCCGAGAACTACGAACTAGGCGGCGGGGCACCCTCCGATCGCGTCCGCAAGAGAGACGTCGTCAGTAACATGGTGACAGATGGACTAGTCAGTGGACTGGGGTGGGTGCTCGGCGCGCAGCCCGTCAACCGTTCTTAGTATCAGTATAAATAATCCGCGGTTCAACGAGAGCCACACCGCAACCCCCCCCCGGGCCCCTCGGTACTTATCTGATTATCTGAAGGGATCACGTGTTCTATTTGCATGTTTGATAATGATGACCGGTGTGAAGACCTTTTGTTTATCCAGTTGTATTGATAGCGTTGCTAGCAGGCATGGCATGATATCTTATAAACAATATCCCATTTTCTTCTTTACGAGCAGTTTTTTTTTCCGTATGAAAAATACTAGATTGAAGTTCCTGGGGTATACTGTAGTATATGTGTTTACTGCAGTTCCCCGCTACGAGTCCCGCTATAGCGAATTCCTCGCTGTAGCGAACATACTTTACTCAGGTTTTCCGCCACCATACAAAAATCCCTCATTTCGCGATATAACGAAGTTCGTAAGAATTGACTCTTTCTACATATAAAAATTCATTGTATCGAGGAAGAACTAAACCGAAATAAGTAAGAATTTATTTCTACTATTTAGGTAGATAGGATAGGACTTCTAAAGTCACGTGGTGGGGTTCTGTAAGGGTCGGCACCTCAGAATATATATATTTACACCAAAGACATAGATTTGCTATAACGACTCTTGACGACGATTTTGGAGCTTCAGAGGTAGGCTGCTGGGACAAGTCTCTTCGATTTTCTTGGTGGTTGCAACTATCTGCGTGCCCGCATGTTAACGAGATGAAAAGGCTTTTGGAGTCATGTGGCCGGATTACTTAGCAATGCTGACAGACTCCCCGTTACAACAAACAATACTGCGTACTGGGCTTGACGGATTGATTCGTTATAGCGGGGAACTGCAGTATTGGGGTTCATGTGGGATGAGTTACCCCACTTGGATTGGACCCATGTGGTATACCTACCACTTTCTAGCACTGTAGGGGTAGCAGTTCGAACTGACTCGATAATGACATTTGTTGGACCGGCCAATACAAGATTCGAGAGCAAGAGAGATCCGGCGCCCAGATCCATAGAACCCAAGGCATGACGGTGGTCAACAAGGCCCAGGGCCAGACTGGGGCGTTCAATCATGTGACTGTCTTCCCATACGCGGGCAAAAGCATATAACTTACCATGGTGATGATCCTACTAGTATCGAAAGGGAAAGAGTACGATGGAAATGCTGATGATGATGATGAGTTTTGACTCAATTGAATAGACGCCAATCAATATACACAAGATGCGGACCCGGTCCTCGAATAGAAATATGAAAACAAACGCAGCAAGACAGAAAAAAAAGACAAGAAACAAAACAGTTTGCACATATGTATGTGAATGAAGATAGATGCCTTGGGGGGGGGGTACTCTCTGTGAAAATGTATGTATGAATGTATGTTATGTATGGCTGGATTCGCTCACGTGCAAGATGATAGACCGGGAAAAATCGAGATGGTGGATCACGCAGAGGGGAAAGAGATCGGAGCAGATAAAAGCCAGCACCGCTGGCTGTCGGGCAAAAACAGAGAAATCCCTTTTTTGGAGCAAATGCGAAAACAACATCGAGTTGCTGGATGAATGCAAATGGGTTCTTGCTGGTGAAAGAAAACGAGGATGCGCAGACAATTCGAGCCTTGTCGCTGGCGGGAGGGAGGAATTTGGTATTAAGGAAAGGCGTGATCATGTCGGGCGATGATAGTCAAAAAGGGCGCAAAAACATTTCCAACTCCATGGTCCCAAGGAAGGATAGACAGTGCACGGATGAGAATAAAATGAGCGTCGTCATGATCACAGATTCGTATGCTGTTGACATCCGGGTCAACCAAGGGCCAGCCACTTGTCAGCATCAAGAGGGAAGACCGTAATATGCGATCGAATTAATAGAGGTAGCAATATCAGCCCAATGGAAGAAGTGTGAGCACGAATGGTCGCGGCGGTCCTGATGCTGTGCAGGCAGTCTATTCTTTCCAATCCCACACCTGCTTCACAAAATTGGCCATGTTGACCTTCTTGTTCTTCATGTCCAGCATCCAGGGATGATCCAGCATCCGCCATGGAGTCGCTCGTCGTGGAGGTTCTTTCTCCAGACTAGTTTCATCGTTAGTTACGCAAACGAATCATGGAAGGGGGATACAGGCACATACCAGCACTCGATGAAGTACTTGAAGTTGTCTGACCACCGGATGCCATTGTCGGGCTCGTCTTTCAACTTTGGGATTGGTTGACGGACAATGTAGGTTAGAAGATCAATCAGACCGGCCCGGGGTTGCATCTCCGTCCCATCAGCTGGGAAGGGGAAGCGATGCTGGGCAACCTCAAGCAAAGTTACGCCCAAAGACCAGACATCCGATGTAATCGTGTACGACTGTCCAGTGATCCGCTCAGGCGCCATGTAGTACGATGTACCGATAAAGGTGTTCGCATCGCCCTTGGTACCGAACTCTCCACTGACACCGAAATCGCAAAGCTTGACTTGACCGTTTCGGCAAAGAAGAATGTTGGACGGCTTGATGTCTGTACATGCCGGATTAGACAGGTCCGATAACCAATGGACGAAAAGGGATGCCTGAGCGCCTACCTCGATGGATGATCTTTCGGCTGTGGAGATAGGTTAAGCCGTTTAGGACGCCTTCGGCGACCTTGCCCAGCACCTTTTCTCCTGTCCGACCTCCCAGCTTTTTGACTTCCTTGTAGATGCTGTCCAAACTGCCACCTTCGCAGAATTCCATTGCGATCGAGATCGTTCCTGTGGACTTGTCCATGAATGCACCATAGTAGCGACAGATGTGTTCCGAGGCACAGTCTTTGTTGAAATTGAGTTCGCGAACGATCTGTTTTTTGACGTCGGGGTTGGGATCGGTTGTGATGATCTGAGACAGCCTTTAGTATCCTTTAAAAAGCGTGGCATTTCAGGTGCGCAACTCACCTTCAGAGCAAAGACGGTCTTTCCTTCTCTGAGCTTGCAACGAGTCACAGCACCTCCCGCGCCTTCACCCAGACTACCCAGCTCCACGATCTTCTTCTGTTCACTGGCTGCGAGCCAGCCCTCATCATCCAGGTCGTCTACGTCGAGGGGCCTGCCCTTCTCCAAGCTCAGCTTATCCAGATCCGGGATCAAGTTGTTGACGCTGCTGTCCCGCTCCATTGACATGCCACCTTCCCGGTCGGAATAAACTGAACTGATCGCAGATGATGGATCGGGGGTGCTGCCATGTGGCTGTCGGAGCCCCATAGCGAACGATAACGCGGAATAGTTGGAGGAGGAAGCGGAGGCCGGCCCACTGGCCTTCCCGTCGAGATAGGTAAAGCTGCCCGTTCGAGAGTGTCCATTTGGTTCGTTCAGGCCGCTGGTCGCCAAAGGTGGAGGAGCCGGTCGGGGTTTAACCTGGGGAATGGATTGAGTGCTACCCATGGGAGTAGCGAGGCGCAGCTGGGGAGGAGCTGGGCGGGCAGCCGGCCGCTGCAGCTGAGGAACCTCGGTCGGCGGAGGCGCTCCAGTGGTCGGAAGACCGTTTCCTGTGACGGGACGAGCGTTGGGAGAAGGGGGAATGCCCAGGGTGAGTTTGGGGGGTCGAGGACTGCTGCCATTGCTGCGATTACCCGGCACAGGCGGTTTGAGGAGGGGGACTGGCGAGGATGACATTGCGAGATTGTTTTGCCTCTCACCAGGCAAAAACAACTCGTTGGGGTCAGCCAAGGTAGCCAGATCGGCGGTCTTTTGGTTGGACACTTTGAAAGAGTGTAGGGGAGAACTGGGAAGAAGAAAAGAGGGGTTGCGGCTATGGAAAACTGAGATGAATTGTTGAAGAGATGAGAAAGAGGAGAAGGAGGAGGAGGAGGAGGTGGTGGTGGTGGTAGTAGTAGTAGTAGTATTGGTGGTGGTGAGGTGGTCGGAACAAAGAGGGCCGTGGGGTTAAGCAGGCAGGCGGCGGCGGCTGAGAGGAGAATAGAGAGAGGGGTTGGCGATAACAGAAACAGCCGGGTAAACCGAATCAAGTCAGTTGACAGGTGATGTAGCAGACGATGCCATCAAAGTCGCAATATGAATCAAGCGAGTGAGGGCGACTATTGACCACTTTCGAGGAATTTCCGAAGATGAGAAGAAGTTGTTGATGTCTGTTGTAAGAAAGAAGAAGAAAAGAAGAGAGAGGAGGGCGCTGATTTTGTCAGTTGGCAGCAGCTGATGGAACAAACCTCCACACCACTTAACTAAACTGCAAGTAACAAGCAGAGCAGGCAAAGTAAGTAAGCAAGCAAGCAACTTATAAGAAGTTAAAGTGTAAGTTAGTTTCAAAGTCAAGACAGCTAGCAACCAGGATTAAATATGATCACATCACATCCCAGACATTCCTAATGGCTATGACAGGCGAGGGAGTCCGACCTGGTGGAACCGCACTGTTTCAAAAAGCGCTGGAGAATTGCTACTATTCTTGACAGCTCAGTGTCCACTCGGCGATCTTTTTATATACTCCCTTCTAATTCCAAGGAGATAATTCGCACTTTAAATACACACTTCATCTATCTCACGTTCAGGGTGGATATCGATGACTTTTATTATTAACTCTCGTTCGGATCTAGATTTCACATTCGGCGCACTCAATCAACCATAGCTTATTGTCAATAACAGTCTATTGTTCTTTTTGTCCAGTCGATGCCTTAAGGGTCGGGCAACCATAGGCATCCATGAAAACTCTTCAATTGCGGGCATTGCAAAAAACTCATTTTTCAGCTCCCCATCCCATGAACAGAGATTTCGTGATAGTATCTAGTGGAAGCGAGGGGTTTGACCGTTCACCGGCCAACTCTCATATTTACTAGATCTGTCTGCCTTGTCCCTGGCTGGCTTCGAAGCTCCATCCAACCGATCCGGTACTTTCACCCGGAACTCCACCTTCAATCTATACCAGCCAGTGCTTGTGGCCCGTCGAACATCTCATCTCCCTCGTCCCAGTTATTCTCAGCTCATTCCAAGAAATGCATCTCGGGAGGAGCTGAGGGCAGGGGCCGTGAGATTACTCTCTATACGTTCCTCACTTTCTAATTGGGACAATTGTCGTAGTCGTCGTAGTGATGATGCTGGTGATCGTTCTTTGACCATCATCGACCTCCCAGGACGAGGATTAAACATGACACGTGCCATCTTCAGCCTTGTGGAAAGACACACAGACGTCCATCAAATGACGCTGGCTCGCTCCCTTTCACCAAGTCTTTATTTTTAAAACTCTCGATCTCTCCGAAGCCACCAGCAAGCATATCGGGGGCAGCCACAAACGCTCGCCGACCCACTATTGAGCCGGTTTAAAATAGCATCCGCCAATTTTGCACCGCCATAGCGACGGGGCCAACCGGTTATGACGATGAGACTGATGTTAATTGTTGGTACTCCGTATCTGTTGGGATATTTGTGGACTAGCAGGGGCCAAGTTGAGGTCGCAGTTGGAAGGGAGCTTGCACCTTACTGATCTCATACCCTGTGGCTTCGACCCCAACCCTGAACTCAACTCGGAAGCCATCCATCATCCATGATCCTCGGCTCTCCTCCGTTGAGATCGAGTACTAGTGTAGCCCTACGGTCAACAACGGCGCCAAGCGGCGAGGCTTGTTCTCGGTTATGCAGCGGAGCAGCGGTCATGCGCCGTGGCATCACTCTATCACGATCAATCCAAATCACCTTTTCAAATGCAGGTCTTGATAATCGAGTAGAGTAACTAGAGGTTGCTACGAGTATCTACGGTAGAACGCGCGGCATTGACGATCCTGGCTCGAAGGAGGTCTTTCCCCCACCCCAAATCTCCAAGACACTTGCTCGATCAGCGTCAGTGAGTCCCGCCATGTTCTCATTGTTGGCGCGTCGACCCTGATCATCGACGCAGTCTCCGATTCCATGACTACATGCTTCTGATGATGACGAGGATAGCGGATGTTGGTCACACCTTACAGCAGATCCAAGGGTAGGCCAATGCTTCTCACTCCACTTATGCTGCCCAAATACCATCAATCAGAAACCCGGGGTAAAGAAAAAGCTCAAGTTCCACGCCGGTGTGAATCCGAAGTTGGACATCGCAGCCGATTGATTGCCAGTTCGTTCCCCTGTTGATCGGTGGAGCAGACTTCAACCAGCACCGGCACTTGGAGTCTTGAACAAGATTCTTCACTCTTGACCTCTGAGTGCTGAAGAAAGAGTCCCGTCGAGTTTTTGCAGGGCGCGCCAGCAATTTATAGTGGTCAGGATCGTTTCCTTTCTGGTGATCCCCCGCCCGCCCTTCCCCTTGCCACGGCATTGAGAGCAGGATTCTCCTGACGCTAAGTTTGTTCGCTGCATATCATGGTTCCTTCTGCCACTACGGGTTAAACAATTGCCCGCCATCCTTTACGTACATACCGATCGAGACTTCTGAGTCCAGGAATTCCACTATTGACAATTGATCCCAAGTTAGCTGCCATATTGGCCCCTTTTCCCATCTTACTTTCTTATAGTTCATCGCACCGGTATCTTTCCCCTAAAAAAAGAAACCGTGTCGCAACGGATCAAGGTTGGGGGTGAAATTCCCGGAGATGATCACCCAATTTTCTCAACGACGAGTCCGTCTGAGCTTTTAATAGCAAGCAAAGAGGGTTCCAATAGTCTGCCGATGATAGTGACATTTCAATGGTGGAATGAATAGCTGCTAAGTTAAAAAGTTACCTGCGACTAAGTTAACGGAACTTACTTACCCCATGCTAGCCGCCCGCCCAGCATGCGATCGCTGCATTTGGGCGGCTACCATCTGTTCTCAATCGGTTCAAGGTTCCATCTGCAACCCCCATCTCCGAAACTCTTCCCTTCCCCCAATCAAATCAAGTCCTTTCTCGATTGCGCCATCATCTCTTCTGCATGCATTTGCTGTAGGCACGGCGTCTTTCCAACGCGTCACTGCATTGTTCTTCTGCTTCTGCCGCGTTCCACAAACCACGCCGATCTCGACACGCACAACGTCTGCTCATCGCTTCGGGGGCTCAATGGGAAGAAAGTCAAAAAAGACAGCCAGAAAGGTGGCATCCCCCTCTCGACGGAGGTCAAGGGGCTAGCCGAATCTCGATTAGCGACTAGTGGGTTTAGATTAAGCAATCAATGAGGACGACCGTGGCGCCGAGCGAGACTCTGGACTCGTTCACTACGATGGGGCCGGTGGTCACCAGAGAGAACTGGATCATTCGCGGTGAAATGAGATTACTACTGCGGAGGTGCCTTCAGGGACTGGGCGAGGAGATGGCGGGAAACGCACATGGAGAGAGTGCTGCTCATCGGTTGTTGTTGTTGAGAGGCTACGTCAGAAGTTGCACGCAAACACATGCGCGGGGGAAATCAATCGGTCGAAGTGCAACAAGCTCAAAAGAAGATCCTAAACAAGCAAGGGTTTCACGAGGAATCGGGACGGAGGCTTTAACCCTCGCCCAGCCCGTTGCCCTCGAGCACCAGGCGCTATGGTCAAGACCTGCGGCATTAGTATTGTGATTATTTGATCGACTCCAGTCGGCAAAAGTCAGTCGGGTTGCTAGCCGCATCCTCTTCATAATGAGTTTACAACCTCCTCGGTGGAAGAATCACTTCCGAGCAAAAATAGGACACACTATCCATTGGTTAGTTTTTGGCCCATTGGACTTGACTCGGTAGTCTACTAGGCTAGTCAGGCTATTGAGTAGTATTGGTGTTGACTACCAACAAGCCTTTCGCCGAAGCAAGACAACAACAATAACCACATGAACAGCAAGCACAATGGAAGAAGGTCAAACTTCGCAGCAGCGAGACAGGGGCAATGAGTCGACCCACTGTGCTGGCCACTGGGATTTCGTGGAGGGGAGGACAGCGGGGAAGCGAGCCACAGCGGGATGTCAGCCAAGACGGTGAATGGTCGGTGGCGTCAGGGACAACTTCAGCAGTTGTTGTGTGACCCACGGAAGCGCGCGCTGATTGGCCTAAAGAGGAAAGGTGAAACACGGACTACTAAGCGGGCCTCCAAACGTTTCCTGTGGCTCAGTAGACTAGAGTAGACTAGACTACTCCGTAATTGAGTTGCTGCCCCTGACTCTCATATTGCTGGGTGCGGTGTGACAGCCCAAACTTCTGGGTGTCTCGCCAGTCTCAGCACATACGCATTTTCTGTTCCTCGCTTGTGTACTCGGCATGAATCCTGAAACTACCACAGAGCTTGGTCCGGTCGTTCGAGAAATACTCATACTGCCACAGGGTACCTACATACATGATATGCAGGTACGAGTAAAAGGAAACCTATAGCTGGGAGTGCTATACTTCGACCCCGACCCAGGTACGGAGTAGTAGGGACTACTAGGGACACTAAAGAACCCCTAAGCGCAGAAGATCCAACCAAAAAGGGAAGTCGACAAGGTCGAAAGAAGCAATTGAACAACCGATCATCCATCAGAAGTTCAGAAGTTCAAAACCGCCCGCGCTTGGACCGAACCTGGGCAGTGGGCACAGGGACCAACCGTGAGACTATCCCACGAGGACCATAGTGAAATAAAAGAAAAAAAAAAAGACAGATGAGAGTGGACCCGTTTCTGACCCCTAAACTGCCTATGAGGTTTCGAGTATCAAACTATCAAACTAGACTATACTATCCTGGACTAAATCTACTCTCCTACACCGCGCCCCAAGAGCCAACATTAGACATCCAAGACTTACTCCGTACACAGTAGACTAAGACGCCTGTTGGTTCTCTCCACTCGCCTGCAGCCCGCTTCTCCCCTTTTCGGCTCTGAAACGATCTCCAGGTTAATCTCCGGGATGATACAAAGGCTCTCATTCCCCCCCTCCTCCTGCTCCAGTCTTCTCTGATTCTTCTCTGTTTCTCTTTTCCTCAGATTCAACTGCTTGAAGCAATCAATCCTCTTGACTTCGGTCTGCCACTCTTTTAAACACAGCCCAACTGTTCACACTCTCTTTACCACCAATCCAAATAACAGAATCAACCTTGACGGTTTAGATTTATCACCACACCCACAAACACAACATTCAAGATGCGTTTCTCCGTTGCCACCGTTGCCCTCTTCGCCAGCCTCGTTGCTGCCATCCCCCAGGATGTCGAGACCGTCTACCAGACTGAGGATGTGACCATCATCTCTTGCGCTCCCACCGTCACCAACTGCCCTGGACGTGTCCACTCGACCTCCACCCCCGAGGCTGTCGCTGCTACCACTACTGAGGGCGTCTCTCCCGTTGCTACCACCACCTCCGTTCCCGAGGTCCCTGCTTCCTCCGTCACTGAGCAGCCCACTTCCTCTGTCCCCGAGGGTGCCTCCGCCGCTGGTACCACCGCTGCTCCCCAGGCTCCCGCTGGCAGCTCCCCCGCCGGTGGCTCCCCTGCTGGTGGCTCTCCCGCTAGCGGCTCCGGCTCCGCTCCTTCGGCTCCCGCTGTTGTCCCCTCCGGCGCCTCTGCCGAGACTGCCGGTGGTGCTCCCCCCGCCGCTGCCAGCAGCTCCGTCACTGTCATCGCTGTGACCACCTGCGTTCCCACCGTCACCTACTCCACCGTCACTCTCGGTGCTGGTGCCACTGGCCTCCCTGGCAAGCCCGGCAGCGGCAAGCCCACCAAGTCCGCTGCTTTGATCCCCAGCGGTGCTGCCGCCATCGGCAGCGGCTACCCTAGCGGCAGCGCTACGTGAGTATTTCCCTTTTTCTTTGCAGTGCATGCATGTATGCAGACCAAACAGACGCTAACCCGGTGCACAGCCCCTCCCCCTCTGCTGCTCTCTACACCGGTGCTGCCAGTGCCATCAACGGCAACTCCTTTGCCTTCGCTGGTGCCGCCGCCGCCGCCGCTCTTTTCCTTGCTTAGATTCCCCCTTCTTGTCCATAGTAGCCCCGGGTCCTTCATGAGAGTCCGGCCGTCAACTACGGGCGGGGGAAACCCTATAACCTAGGGCGCGTGTGTATAAATGAAGAGACCCTGTTGGCGGTTTGTGCTATATTTAGTGTCGAGGTTTTGCTTTCTGGGAGAGAAATCCGATTCGTTGCTTGAAATATTTCTTTGACCTATCTAACTTTCTCTACATGCTTCCTGGAACGCCTTGCGGGGTTCAGTGAAGCCTTTTTTGGTGGCTGGATACGATTAATGTAACCCATGAAATTGCTTTCACATACCCAAATCGAAGCAGTAATAGATTACTTTACCAATGCTACTTTTCTTCTCTTCTTTATCTTGGGGTCGATCTTTTTCAGGTTGAATTGTCACTTGATGAATCTATTACCTTTTGACCGCGAGATCTCAAAATTCAGAGTTTGTTGCAGATTGATTATTTGCGCAGAAAACCCCGCCCAGCCAGCCCAACCAAGCCTACGGTGGGTGACCTGCCACCGATCGCTTCGTTCAGCCGTAGGTGGTCTAGTCTGCTGCTGGGGTCTTGACGTGTTCAATTGTGCCCACAAAATCCAGAGGCAAGGATAGGCTGGGCGATGGGGCTGAATCCGGAGACGAGTGGGAGAGAGAGGGGGAGAGAGAGGGTGTGATTGTGCATGGGTGTTAGGTTGGGGGCCGCAGCATCGAGGGTTTCACAGGCAATCCTTCAATCGGCGACCGGGTCGGATCCGATCGCGGTGCGTTTCATTGGTGATACTCGTCCTACAACACGTAGGTGACCAAGCAGAGTTGAGGCTGAAGTATATGAACACTGCCTCCCTGCCTCCTGCCCCCTGTCCCCTGCACACTGCTCACTGCTCACTGCCAGTGAGATGGGTGGTGGTGGTGGTGGTTCATCGCTCGTTTCATATTCTATGTTGGAGTGGGTTATTAGTCAGTCCATGAAAAGCATGTGCTAAATTAAAGTGACTTTATCTGGTCAATTGTGTCACCGTCAGCCCTATCTTTTTAGGTTGGAGAGATTCTTGGAGGTGGTTTCTAGAAGCATCAGAGGAGGGTCTCTGTTATCTGGTCTCCCAACTAGGACGAGAGGGACGTGATGGTGGCTGTGTGCGTGCGTGTGTTGTTATTGCTGTAGTTATCGTTATTTATGATCAATCGATGTTCTCTTGCTGTTCCTAAGGCTTTGCTGACTACGAACTCCGACTCCGGTCCTCCTCTTCCTCCCCCATTCGGGTTGACTGGTCATGTGTTGGTCTCGGCCCGTCGCTTCTCATACTTCCTTCCCTTCCTCCCTCTAATTGTCGGTCTGACAACAACAACAACAACAACAACAACAACAGCAGTCTCTTGCCTCTACTCGCGTTGTACCTCGAACTCTTGTTCTCACCACCAACAGAGACACGCGGAAAAGGGGCCTCTTACTTATCATCCTTCTGTGGGGTGGAGATCCATCTGGAGTCTAATGACCCAAATAGATTGACCTTTTCCGCCGTAATGCAGAAGCGGATACAAGCTCGGATAACAAAGGAAGTGGCAGTGTTCCGAACCATTGACTTGCCACCAACACACCAACGCCTGCGGCCATCACGCAGCCTCCGCTTCCTCAATCCCTTTGAGAGCTCTCAACCCTGAAACATGAGCTCCTTACCATGGCGTCTGCAGTCCATGGATGTCGCTCCATGCAGGAAGGCATGCTTTTTCTCGGCGTCCCCGCGTTCTGCTTCGTTCTGCTTTGGGCATAGTGGTTGCACATCACACAACATAGGGTGCACCACCCCCCCAAATCCTGCTGCGGAACGCCCTCTGCCCCTCCTGGGACTTGGATAGGAGGTTATAGGGCAAACAGGAAAATCCTTCTATAGCGGGGGCAGAAAGCTCCCGACGGATCGGATTCCTGGCTGGTTTCCATACCAAGGCGAACACCAGCCGGGCAACCCGAGTCTCCTCCACCAACAGATTGAGATCGTTCAATCCTTCCCGACCTGTTCATGAGCTGTTTGCTCCACCGCTCCCCTCATCGCGCCCAGATAGCTTGGATCTGGTGAGCCCACAATGAGGCGCAAGTAAGGCTTTCCGTGCGGATTGGCCCTGTTGGTTGTCTTGTCCCATCTGACTTCTTTGTTACTGTGACCGTCAAAGAAGGCCGTCATGACCGTGCACATCGGAGAGTTTAGCAAGACGCTCGGCGTCGTGATGCTGGTGACTCCGCCTCGACTTCATGTCTATTAAACAACAGCGTGGCCGCTGTCGGGACTTTTGTTGTCCAATTTCTCGCATGACTTTTCCCTCCTGCAACCCTCGTACCCCCCTCCACCTTACTGCCTCCCGATTTCGACTCGTACCACCCGAAGCACATGGTCGTTCTCGCGATCAGGTCGTCTCGGCTGCTTGTGCTTTACCTTAACTCATCGCTCTGAGCCCTTCCCCATCGTCGCTACTTGTCCGAATGGATCTCTCGTCGCTGGAAGGCCCTCCCATCGCGGATTCCCGCTTTACTGTCTTCTCGGAGAGCCCAAAGGAATACATGACTGTTCCACGTATTCGCCTTGATACTGGCTTGGCTAGCACACTGCCTCAGCGTCCTGCCTCTGCATGCGACTCTCCCAGGCCCAAGACAGATTATTATCCATATTCACCCCAAGAGCGACAAGACCCCAGCCTCTGCCGCCGCTGTCATTTCAGAATACACTCAACTGGGGACCTGAGCACACCCAGCCCTCGCGAAGCAAGCCCATCGACATCCTCCTACCCGGCTCTCAACCTGCCTCCTCCTCCGCCTTCGTCATCGTTTGCTTATTCTCCCTGGGCGTCGCGAAGTAGGAGCATGACAGACCTCACTCTTCAGCCCGCTCGCACCACTGGCCCAGTGTCCCGCGAGACATCCACTCAACAGGCCAGCCAGCTCATCTGGCTTGAGTCGGAAGAACTATGGGTCCTCAAACCTCCGTCACCCTTGTCATCGGCACCATATCTTTCCCCGCTGGCTCCTCGCCCGATACACAGTGCTACTGGTAGAGGTGGGCATCCATCCTCTCCATCAGTGTTCGATGACTACGCCTCCGACTCGGAATACTCCGACCAGCCTCCACCATATGAACATCACATCTACGATCGGCCGTTCGTTCCGCTTTCCGATCGAGCAAGGGAGGATGGCAGTAGCCGGAGGTCGCGCTGGTCAGCTGTGGCTTGCAGGAGAGCAAACCGGGCTCTCTCGGGCTGAGGAAGACCTCTGACTAGTACTTTGTCTCATCTTGTGTTGGAATGATGAGTGGAAAACATTTTGGAGAGTCAAGCTGTGGTTCTTTTGTTTCTCTGTCTGTATCTTGGTTGCTTTTATGCTCATTTTGGCCCTTTTTGCTGCATCAGAGAGCGATGATACCCCCAATTTGGATTTAATCTTGGTTTACTTAAGCTACTTATACTTTATCGCTAATCAATTGTGCTGATTCCTATTTTTTGATTGTAATATCTTTTACTTGCGCTTCATGTGCCCTTTGCTTCTTAGTGGTGTACACCTCGTATCGCATTCAAACACTGGGGGGCTTGTGCAGAAGTTGGTATAACACATGTCTTCCCACCTACAGCATAACATAGTGACGGTCAGTGAATACTGGACCCGGCCTGAGTCGCCATAACACAGAGAGGAAATCTGCCCATGTCTTCATCCTAACCTTTTTCTTTTTCTTTCTTCACCTCAAGTGTCTTTCATTTCCCACACCACCTACTCCTTCATTCTTTCTCTTTTGCCTTCCTCTTCCCTGCTACGACCGCTCAACCCCACAACTTCATTCGAAAGAATTTATTCGGATAAGCATTCTCAGCCTCGATTTCTCGCTTCTACAAGCCTACTGGCTTTTGAGATACAGCTTGGAATCTTGGCCCTCTGTACCTCGGGCAAAGGAACATGGATCTGACCGCCACTTTGTCGGAGCCGAATGATGTGGCTTTAATCGACCACCTGGCCAAGACACATTATGTAGCTGAACAGTCGCATCGGGATGCTCATGATTATAAGAGGCACAAAAGTGGTAGGCGCTTTGTTGACCTTTTCGCTGGGTGAGCGATGAGATCGGCTAAGACATACATTGCAGCATCCCCATGCCCCGATTTCGCAACGAGGTGGGAAGTCGCACAACGCGAAGTTCGAACTAGGTACTTAGAGCGAGCTCTTGAGCTAGCTTCCTCGGATCAATACAAGCGGCAGCAGGTGAACGATATCGAGTTTGCAAATGCGCTCTACACAAAGTGTTACGCAGAACTAGATCCCGACGAAGCGGGTACCACTTCCTCAATCCAGCGTAAGTACACAAACCCCATTTGCACTTATCTCCTTCATCTCGTTGAACTATGATTGTGATGCTAATTGATGTCCCAAGTCGATGCTTTCAAGATAGCAGTGACAAAGTTGCTGAGCTCCGAGACTGGATCTAGACCGCATCCAGTCCAAGTTAAAGAAGAGGAAGCCTCCGCTGCTATCAGGGAGCTTCCGCAAGTCGTTGACAATCCGGACACTGCGATGAGAGAAGCGCCTTCGGAGAATAACAACGTCGGCAACGCCGCGGATGAAAACATACAGGCGCTGGAGACAGCCGTGAAGAAGGGCCTCAAGGCGCTGGCGCAGATGAGCGAAGTTTTTGGTGCGTCCGATGACTGGGACACTGAAGCCGACTGGGTCACCAAGATCAAGCGAACGATCTCGAAAGCTCGCAAGGAAAAGGTCGTCATTGGGATTGTTGGAAGCACTGGCGCGGGAAAATCATCTTTGATCAACGCGCTAATCGATGAAAAACACATCCTCACTACGGACTGCATGCGAGCATCCACAGCGGTCCCAGTGGAAGTCTCTTACAACAAGCAAGCATCAAGATACAGAGCAGAAATTCAATTCATTGAGCTCAGACACTGGGAGCGCGAGCTGAACATTCTATTTGCAGAGCTTGGTGACCATAGTGAGGAACTTGCTCGCGGCGAGATGCCAAAGGACTCAGAGGCAGCGGTCGCCTTGGATAAGATCATGGCTGTGTATCCAACCTTGAAGCGGGAGCATCTTCTCGAAACCTCGCCTTCGAAGCTTTTGGAGGACAAAGTTGTATTCGACCTACTGGGCCAGAGTATGGTGATTGAAGAAAATGACTCTAAGAGTTTCTCAGAGAGCCTTAAGTCATATATCGATAGCAAGGGCAAGAAAAAGAGTAGGTCCAAGATTTTGACGAAGAAGGGCACTTCTGCACAGCCGATAGACTTGTCAGACGAGCTGAAATCCACCGACCCGGGCATTGGACTGTGGCCTCTTGTTCGCGTTGTGCGGGTCTATGTGAGGGCCGGAGCTTTGTCGACAGGAGCTGTTCTAGTTGATCTTCCCGGAGTTTACGACTCAAATGCAGCGCGAGTGGCCGTGGCGAAGGAGTACATGAATTGTTGCTCTGCTCATTGGATTGTGGCGCCCATTAATCGCGCAGTCAGTGATAAAGTTGCTCATGATCTGTTGGGCAAGAATTTCAAAATACAGATGCACATGAACAGTGCATTCAACGATATTACATTTATCTGCACCAAGACCGACGACATCGTTCCAATAGAAGTGGTGCAATCTCTAGGTCTCGAGCTGCCACCTGTTGAGAATTTTGAAGCATCGGAAAGGTTTGAGGGCTTGAAGATAGAGCTTCAAGCAAGCAGAAGGTCGAAGAAAAAGATTGCCGATGATCTGGACGACATCGAAGAGAAGATCGAAGAGCTGGAGGCGGAGTTAGAGGAAGAAGGTTTCAATCTCGACGATATTATGCTTACTCCAAAAAAAAGGAAGAAGGCCCGTAACGCTAGGAGCACGCCCGAGGAGTTGCTCGCGACCATGACCTTTTCAGAAAGCATTGAAGACCAGGATGAAGCTGAAGGTGATCAATCAATACTCCTGCGCCAGCTGCATAGATACAAAGCCCAGCGGAGGGAGCTCCAGAAACAACGACGCCTCATCCAAAAAAGAATTCAGACATACGAGTTAACTGAGTTTGAGGATCTCCGACGATGCATTGAGGCTCGGAATGACTTCTCGAAGCATGAGATCAGACGTGACTTTGCTCAGACCATTGCGAACCTAGATCGAGAGGATGAGCAGGCTGATAGAAGTATTCCCCAGACTCCGACCAGAGACTATAGTGAACTCGAACGAAACCTTTCGGTGTTTTGTGTGTCCGCTAAAGCTTATCAAGGAATTCGTAGCCGTCCAGAGCCAGACACCCGGGTCGGTGGGTTCTGTCGACTGGAACAGACAGAGATTCCTGCTCTACAGCGGTACTGCGTTGCGCTGACGATCAAATCCCGTGAACGAACTGCGAAACGGTTCTTGATTGCGCTCAATTCGCTCCTCCAATCAATAGCGATATGGTGCTCTCCAACTAAGTCAGCAGCGACTATCTCTGATCAGGAGAAACAGGAAATTGAGGCCGGATTCAGTATCGCACTGCACGACATGACCAAGGTAGGTGCGAAATTAGATTTGTTCCAGCGCAGTCCTGACTAACTACACTAGACCATGGATGAGAGCCGGGATGATTGTATTTCTACCGTCCAAAGAGTTAAGATCATCAGCCTGCTGAGTAAGTCTATAGCTCGACAACGAAAAAGCCGACTAACAGGTTGTCAGACGAAGCATGGCGCCAGGGAAACAAGGCGTTTTCTCCGACGGTTGCATCCTGGAATAGACCTTCACCCGAAGGAGGATTCCGTTATAATACCTACCAAGCAATCTGTCGCCGCCAGGGCGTTTTCAAGAAAATCGTGAGCTGTTTCCTCCCTCTGATGGGTATTGGAATCGAAACCAAGCTGACAGAAATCTAGAACATGAACGACGAACTGTAAGATAGATCTGACGTGCATCGCTCGTAATTAATGGAACTGACCCCGTTTCAGAGCAGTCCCGATGCTTGCCAAAACCAGCCCCGGATGGCGCAAGTAGGTCGAGTGTGCAGCCATATCTTTGAGCTATGTCTAACCTCCTCTAGAGCGTTCGCTAGAAAATTGCCCGAAGCATACAGAACTCTGCGGGAAAAACTGGAGAATGCCCTCAGCCGCTTCCATTCTGAAACCATTCGATCAACAAAGTGGGAGGTCCCTCAAGACACACGCCAGCTCCTACAGAACAAACTGGTTACTTCCCACGAAATGTTGCGGCATAAGATGGACGATCTGCAAGAGTGGAGCAAGACAAAGCAGAAAGAAGCGCTGGACAAATTCAGCGAGAACATTGCTACGGAACTCCAAAAGACCTACGAAGCATGCGCCGAGCATCGAGGTAAGTTAAGGGACCTCACGTCAGGTTGAAAGTGCATTGACTGATCGGCACGCATAGGCATCGGCACATTGCAAGCGGTTCGCACCACGATGTCTGACCATGCCGAGAAGCAAGGGGAACAGTTGTTTCGTAGTGTCTCGAATCAAGTTGAGCAGACCCTTCAAGCAATGTTGCGCGAATTGAAGGTTAAGATCGAGCGGTTGGTCGAGAAACGATTGCAGGACGCTCGCCAAGACTACCATCGTGCCCTTATAGCACCGCACCTCAAACAATGCTCACAGAAGAAGGCGCGCTTCAAAGCTCAGATCCGACATCTTGTCCGTAATGCCGAGGCCGACCTGCAGCTGGGAGTTTTGCTAGGAGGTGGTCTGCCTCAGTCTGGGGAGGCGCCTGTCGTAGACAAACAGCAAGCGGCTACGGGAGCTACTGAATCTGCTATTAATTCTTAGCTTGCGATTGATGTGCAACGGGCCCAAAGCGATCATTGAACTTTGATTGGAGCGCACGGGCCCGGGTTGGGCTGGAGCATGGCAATTTCAAGGGGAGGAGAGGAAGCTTAAGCATTTTGCGAAGGAAAGAAAACGAGGTGAGACAGGATGAGCATGAGGGAGAGAGGGGCAGAGTGGGTGAGGAGGTACGCAATGTACAATACAGTACTTTTGCTTGTTAGCGCACCATGTCTATCGGCCAGACTGTCCAGTTCAGTGATAGTGACCAGCAGCACCCCAGATAGATAGAAAGGGTAGAACCAAATGGAAGCGCTTTGATTGATTGCTTGCTTGCTTGGTAGCTTGGTAGTTTGGTGACTAGCTTGAAAGAGAGGAACTAGACCAAGAAAAATGTTTGATCGAAAGAGGGGAGCATGACGAGGCGAGCAGAGAGAGGCTAAGAGGAGGCCGAATATTGGCCAGGAAACGTCCAGCCTCCGGAATTATGGCGGGTGGGCGGACTCCATAAAGAGTTGGGGCCTGACAGCCGGTGACAGCGGGTGGGTTTATTTTGAGGGAGATTCGGACTTGACCTTGGAAATCTTCTGCTTTATTGCTTGCTCTGTTCTTGTTCTTGCTCTTGCTGTTGTTGTGCTCTGCTCTGCTCTGCTCTGGTCTGCTCTGGGAGCTGTTCTGTTCTGCAGTGTTGATACTGGGTTTGTGCTTATCCCTTCTTGTCCGCTCTTTGTTTGGGGAGTGAGTCAGCAGGATTCAGATAGGACAGAAAGTACGCAGTACAAGACACTGGACACTGTACTGAGTGAGTGATCAATCGAGAGTGTATTGTGGTACAGTGGTTGGGTGTTGCAACAGACGAGCTGAGAGTGTTAGACTTGTTGTTGCTGGTGTTATCATCATCATCATCATCATCTTCTCATCTTCTCTTCTTCTCATCCTCTTCTTCCACCGCCTTCGTTCTACTTCGACACCTCCGCTGTGCTCCACCAATCAGCGGGACATCCACCATGGGTCTCCCGCATCTTTTCTTCTCTCGTCACAAATCATCCTCGCATTCCAAATCCAAGTCTACCAAATCTTCCTCTCCCTCTCCCTCTCCCTCTTCTTCCTCTCCTTCTTCCTCTTCTCCTTCGCCTTCCCCCTTGTCCACTTCTTCTTCTTCTTCTTCTTCCTCCTCCTCCCCGTCTTCCTCTGCGGCGACTTCCACCCGATCCACTCCACTCTCGTCTCCCGCCTCCTCTCCTCCTCCTCCGCCGGTGGCGACCAAATCTTTTCCTACTCCTCCTCCTTCCTCAACTCCTCCCTCCACTCGACCTCCCCCTCCTCTTCGGGCCAAGACTGTTCACTCTTCTTCTTCCTCTCGACACTCTCACTCTTCCTCCGCCGGTTCTCCCCCCGTCTCGTCGACACGTGCTCCGCAGTCGTCATCGGTTCCAGCCTCGACTCAGCACCCTTCCATTCCGCGCAAACCCACCACTGCTCGTCCGACTCACCACAGTCGCTCCTCCTCCACCCCCTCCAAGTCAGCCTCCGTTCGGACTAAGTCAGTCTCCGGTCCTCGTGCGTCGCTGTCTGCCGTCCGGAATCGATACACCCACGACCCCGATTTCCACCCACTTAACCTTCATCCCGACGAACTCCGTCAACTTTCCGCAATGGCTGCTGCTCGCGAAGAATCCCGCACCCCAATGGATGTCGACACCAATGGCGTCAACGGCAAGACCGAACGGAACCCTACGCCGCCTCCCCACCGTTCGAACGGCAACACTGCCGAGGCGGACAACTTCAAGCTGGCCGGTAACAAATTCTTCAAGGATGGCAACTACACACGCGCTATTGAGGAGTTCAACAAGGGTAGGTTCTTTCGCGTCCAGACGCATGCTCTCGCTACAAGATCTAATGGTGACATCCGACAGCCCTCGAGATCAGCCCCGACTCGTCCGTCTACCTGTCCAACCGCGCGGCCGCCTACATGGCCGCTAACCAGTACCTAGCCGCTCTGGAGGACTGTGAGCGCGCCCGCGAACTCGACCCCACCAACACCAAGCTCATGTACCGTCACGCCCGCATTTTGGTCAGTCTGGGTCGTCCGACCGAGGCTCTCGATGTGCTCTCCCGCGTCGAGCCCCCCGCTTCCGCTACCGACAAGGCTCCCGCCGAGAAGATGCTCCGGTTTGTCAAGCAAGCCGAGGAGGCTTTGGCTGAAGACCGTGGTGTGTCGATGGTGCTGTTCTGCCTGGACCAGGCGCGTCAGATGCTGGGTCAGGGTGTCAAGGAGCCTCGCAAGTGGACGCTGATGACGGCCGAGGCGCACTTGCGCATGGGTAACGACAACTCCTTCGGCAAGGCCCAGGATATCGCCATTGGCATGCTGCGCGAGAACAGCCAGGATCCCGATGCGATGCTGATCCGCGCCCGCGCGTTCTATGGCATGGGCGACACCGATCAGGCGTTGAAGCTGCTTAAGATGTGTCTGGGTCTGGATCCCGATATGAAGGCGGCCATCAAGATGCTGCGCACCGTGCAGAAGTTGACGCGCACCAAGGAAGAGGGTAACACTGCTTTCAAGGCCAAGGACTATCGCAAGGCCATCGAGTTGTGGACCGAGGCCGTCCAGGTCGACCCCAAGAACAAGGACCAGAACGCCAAGATTCTGCAGAACCGCGCCCAGGCCTATATCAACTTGAAGGAATACGACAATGCGGTCAATGACTGCACGGAGGCTCTGAAATTGGACCCCAGCTATCTCAAGGCACAAAAGATTCGTGCTAAGGCTCATGGCGGTGCTGGTAACTGGGAGGAAGCCGTGCGCGATTACAAGGCTGTCGCTGAGACGAACCCAATGGAGAAGGGCATCCAGGAGGAGATCCGCCGGGCTGAGTTCGAGCTGAAGAAGGCACAGCGCAAGGACTACTACAAGATCCTCGGGGTTTCCAAGGATGCCTCCGAGCAGGAGATCAAGAAGGCTTACCGCAAGATGGCCATTCAATACCACCCCGACAAGAACCCTGATGATCCTACTGGTGAGGAGAAGTTCAAGGAGATTGGCGAGGCTTATGAGACTCTGATTGATCCTCAGTATGTGCTCCCTTGGATTCCTGTTGATATCATAGCATACTAACGAGTGACCAGGAAGCGCGCCTCTTACGACAACGGTGACGACCTCGTTGACCCGGCTGACATGTTTGGCCGCGGCGGCATGGGAGGTATGCACGGCTTCGGAGGTATGGGCGGCATGGGCGGCATGGGCGGTATGGGTGGTATGGGCGGTATGGGTGGCACCCATATCAACATCGACCCCAGCGTTCTCTTCAACATGATGAACGGCGGAGGTGGCTTTGCTCAAGCCGGTGGCCAGCGCGGCGGAGGTTTCCCTGGAGGATTTTCCTTCTAAGCGTGACCCTAACCTTGTTTTTTTGCATGAGGAAAATGGGCGCATTGCACAAAAAGTCCGTCTTCCGTGTCTGCCAAATCACGATGCATCACAGATAAACCGGGATGGGTCCTTTTCTTTACTCCTTGTCATTGGCATATTCGCTCATACCATACATACCCATTTTCTCGTCGTGCAATCGCCCCATCCGACACCCTCCATCTTCGACAGCCTCTCCGTGTCTCCTTTTATACTCTCCAACCTCACGAAGTTTCTAATACCTTGGAAGTCCTTTCTGATCCCAGCATGCATGACCAACAGAACGATGTCGTTGAATGATGGGTTGATTGACGGTTTTGAATCCGATAGACTTTTGTTTTCTCTTCTTCTAATCTTCATCTTTCCCCCCACCCACTTTTCCCTGTTCATGATGCATGGCAAGGGCAAATCAGGAGGAAAGAAAGTGTGTCTTATTTTTTTTTATTTCTGGTTTCGTGGGCTCCGCTAGTGAGAAAGAATTCTTTCTGGTTTTCGCTACTAGACGATAACGACAGATGAGAACGAGGGCTCCGTGCTTGATTTTGTTAGCCAGGTTTTTTTTTTTACTTTCTGTACTGTTGTGATGGCAATAGGCGTTATATACCTGGGATGAGATGAGTGACTTTTTTAGTGTTTTGCCACACCTTTTATTTTATCTCAATCTTTGTTTATGCCAACTAGGATCTCTATTTTTTGTTTTCTAGATCCTGGATTCGGATGAGATCAATACTTTTTTACTCTTTATTCTTCTTCTGGAGGTTGGATATGTTGTAGATGGGTTGTAGATTGTGAGACTCGGGTGGCCATGGGATTTGTTTGGCCATGTAGTGTGGTTTAGATCGTTTGGCTATGCTGTGGAATTCAGTTTGGGGGTTGGTTGGTTGAATTGGTGAGGGTTACGGTCTGACGGTTAGGGTTCCTTGACAAGGCGAATACCTAGCACTATAACCAGGGGTTGGTATTCTCAGGCCACCTCTACAACACCTAGCGTACTGTGCATCAGACAGGTAGGCATCAGACAGGTAGGGATAGAATAGGATAGGGTAAGATTATATACTGGATGTAAGATGTTCTATGTAACTATCCACATTGACCGAGCGAGAGAAGACTAACTCAGCGGTCGGTATCTCAAGCCCAACAAGCCGAGCCAAGATCATCAAAACGAAGGGGGGGATATCTGAAGCAAAGCACTCAGAACGCGGAAAGCAATCAAACCAAATGGTAGAAAGAGGAGAGAGGGGGGGGTGGAGGGAGTAAGTAGTATCAACATCATCGCCATGCAGTGCAATGCATACAACAGGCGCAGGCAGGCCAAATGCTCATGCAGTCATCATCATCACTATTACCCACATTGAGAACGAGAACGAGAAGCAGGGTCACCGATACCATAGCTTCGGTACCGTACATCCTGTACATACTGCACCGTACCTCAGCCGACTAGGGCACAGCGCGCGAGTTCAATACCCCAACCCGGCCAACACCGTCTTCGTCTCATTAGCCGCCAAGCCGGACACGCCCAGCGCGCGGGACAAGGTGCCGCGCCGCAAGCGCTGCAGCCCAATGGCCACCTTCCACCCCTCGGTCTCCTGCAGCACGAACACATACCGTTTCCCTTCCTGGTCGCGCACCGACGCCCGCAGCACGTGCAATCCCCCACCGGGCTTGGCCGGGGTGGCCAGACGGCACGTGTTCTTGCACACCTTCAGCAGATTAGCGAGGTAGGCGTCCGACTCCTCGGCGGTGGGCTCGTTGGTGCGTTTCGTGAAGGGGCCGGGGGGCGGGCCGCGCGGGGGGTGCGGGTGTTGCGCCGCGTAGCGCGGGCACCACACCTCGACGAGCTTCATCGTCCACGCTTTCACGTCCCACTCGCGCTGGCCCACGCCGCGGACGTCGTCGTCGATGAACAGTCCCTCCGTTGTGATGCGCAGCACGAGCCCGTCGGAGACCATCCCCTGGCCTGCGACGAGTTGCGCCACCGGTGTGCGGAGGAAGGCGTTGTTGAAGGCGTAGACGCCGTGGACGACGACTTTATCGGGGTCCTTTGTCGCGTAGGACCCCCGGTTGGACGGCGGGGGCGGGGGGTCGGTGCGCGCCGTGGATTGGGAGGGCGCGTACGAGGAGGATTCCGAGTAGACGGAGGAGCTGGAGGTGGTTGTTGTCGTGGCCGTGCCGTAGGGGCGGCGGACGCGGTCGTAGGGCCGGAAGGAGTGGGCGTCGTCGTCGGCGGTGGCGGAGGATGTGGTTCGTGAGGTGGTGGGGGGTTTCTTGGTCGGGGATGGGGTCCGTGGAGCCGATGTTGCAGATGCTGCTGGTGCTGCTGGTGCTGCTTTCGCTTTGGCAGCCGCGGCGGCCTCCTGCGCGTCTTTGGCCTTTTTCTCGGCGTATTTCTTCGCGGCGGCCTCCTTGAGGGCCGCGAATTTGGCATCTGCCTCCTTCTTGGCGGCGGCTTTGGCGGCGGCTTCTTTCTCCGCTGCCTCCTTCTCCGCCTTGGCCTGGGCCTCTGCTGCCTCGCGCTCCGCGCGGGCCTTGGCCTCGGCCGCTCGCCGTTGCTCGCGCTCGCGCGCCTGCGCCGCCAGACGGTCGGCGCGCGCCTTCGCCTCGGCGGCCTCTCGTTCGGCCTTGGCTTTGGCCTCGGCGGCTTCGCGCTGGGCCTGCGCTTCGGCGGCCTCGCGCTCCGCTTTCGCGCGGGCCTCGGCGGCTTCCTTCTCAGCGCGCTCGCGGGCCTCGCGCGCGGCGGCTTCCTTGGCGGCGGCCATCTCCTTCTCGAGCTGTTCGCGTCGCTCGCGCAGTTCGCGCTCCATCGCCTCGCGCTCGCGCTGCTTCTGCTTCTCGCGCTGCTCGGCTTCGCGCTTGCGCTTGAAGGCTTCCATCTTGCGCCGGAGTTCTTCCTTGCGTCGCGTTTCTTCGCGGGCTTTCTCCCAGTCTGCGCCACTAGAGGGCTTGCTTGAGGCTGACGGGGTAGGTTCAGGCTCGGGCTGAGGTGGTGGTGGTGGTGGCGGCGGTGATGACTGCGGTGGTGGTCCTCCTGCTTGCTGTTGTTGGTACTGATGTCCTCCTCCTGCTCCGTAAGGTCCTCCACCTCCTCCTGGTGGTGGTGGTGGTGGAGGTGCTGCTCCTCCCGCGTTGTTATTGTATGCGCCTCCCCCATAGTGTTGTTGCTGATGTCCCCCACCCGGCGCTCTCCCATAGCCCTGGTTCCCTCCGCGCGCATAATCATTACCTCCACCTCCACCTCCACCTCCCCCAGGACCCGGGCCTCCGCCTCCTCCGAAGCCCCCTCCCCCTCCCCCACCGAATCCAAAACCTCCCCGCTTCCCGCGATTACTACCTCCGCTGCCCCCGTCACCACCACCGCCGCTGCCGCCAGTACCAGCCTGCGCAGCGCCAAACGCCCACCCAGCCACACCCACACCCACCGCCAGAATGGCGATCCCCATGCCATTCCCGCTGGCGACGGTGGCGGCGTACCACGACTTCAGGATCGGGGAGACGGCCACCCAGACCAGCATGGCGAGGAGGGTGGAGACGCAGCCGGCGATGAAGCTGTTGCGCTGGGTCTGCAGGGAGGGGAGGTAGAGGAAGCCGGAGCCTGCGGAGTGCGGCGGGATGATGAAGATGTCGTAATTCCCCGGCGGGAGATCGGAGGTTTTGCGGTATTCACCGTGGGTGGTGTTCGGCTTGGTGCCGTGGGGTGGTGGAGGGGGTGGGGGTGGACCGTCGTCCATTTTTGGGTGGGGTAATTGTTTTTTTCCAGATGCTGATTTTGATGATGTGATAACAGATGTATGTAGTTGGTTATAGATGGTGGTAGGGCGTGTTTCTTGAGGGGTGCAGGGTGGAGGGTGGAGGGTTGGTTGGTTTTGGCGACAGCAACGGGTGGTCCGTGGGTTTGGCTGGGGTATTATTGTAGGGTCTGGGGTAGAGAGATGGGGCGGCCGTCAAACTCGGTTGTTTTTGAAATTGTGTTTGGGGTGGAGGGTGCCGCTGGCTGGGATATTTTGATTGTGTCCGTCGAGAAGTGTTAATGCAGGTGAGGGAGATGATCGTGTCGGGGTGTTCGTGGATAGGGCATGGTGTTTTAGCACGTCATGAATTAGGCGCTGATGGTGGCAGCGCGTTTCTGATAGGACGGTGTCAGTGTTTTGTTTTTCTTCGCTCTCAATTTTCATTGAGGGATTGGAATAGGAGGAGATGAGACTCACTAATTAGAGGGGGGGGAAGAGTCAATGCGCAGTCAATGCGACGGAGATGTTGAGAGAAGAGAAAAGAAAAGAAGAGAGAAGAGAGGAGAGAGGGGAGAGTTGGAAGAAGTTGTCGGGAGTGGACAATGGACAGTTGACAGACACACTACAAACTAGCCTGTATAGTTACTAGTTAATGTGAATTAGTTGACTGATAATCCTGGCAGATGACACCTTAGTGTCACCCTCTCGGAGACTTCTGGTGGTACTTTGGGTGTTTACTCAAGAGGCAACGGTCGGTGTTACCTCTTCATTGAATCAATTGATCTATCTTTGATGAGCATCTGAAGATGCGTGTGAATGGTGGTGTTTCAGTGCATACGCGGCCCACAGGATGGCAGTTCTCATAGACTCATATAAAGTAAGTATTCCAATCTACGGATCGATACCCACATCGGATCCCCATCTCCATCCACATTTTTGCGGCGGACAAGCGACCCAGCAGATCTCCGAGAAGCCATGGAGAATGATTCTATCAAGGACCCAAGCATTCCAGCCAGTCCGCCAGTCCGCCAGTCCGCCAGCCAGCCAGCCATCAAATCTCCACCACGGAGAACCCATCCGTAGGAGGCTTAAGTTTCGCAAGAATGAGCTGCTGCTACCGTGGGATAATAATATCACCAGCAAGATACACAGTAGTCGAGTAAAATACTGCAGTGCATAGTGGAGCCATGCTCGCATGCTCTGACCAGGCGGTGGTCTTTGTTTGTTTTGGTTTCGACGCTTTGGGCGATGGTCGCCCGGTAGATTTTATGAAGAAGCTATGCTAAAGCTGACATAAGCTATGTCACTGCATCCCGTTCACATGCTTTCCGCCTCAGGCCAGTAACCTCTATCGTCTTGTCCACGGTTGTTTGGCTAGCACCAGTTGCAGCGATGGTAACTGTTTCAAGGTTATTAATAGATGCTGGACTGATTGTCAGTATAGAAATAGATAGACTGACCTCTTCGTCTCTCTCTCCGACTTATCTCCGCCTGACAGCCACGCTGAGATGACCCCGTGAATTGCAGCCACCGGCCAACATCACGGGGATGGGATGGGATGTCTGCCTGTGATGCCTGTGATGCCGGATTGCGTCAACTATCTCGAGACCACAACACATTAGACGAAAAGGCTGGCAGAAGGGCTCGCTAGCATCTGTCTCTACCTCTCACTTCCAAAATCTTTCTTGAAGTAAATATACCTGTTCAACACAACGAAATAGACTTGTTGATAGCATTCTGCCCTCCTGGGTCAAGGCGGTCAATACCCTCGTCTCCGACCTCCACCTCCCCCTGCCCTGTCATTCATCGACTCCCCCCCCCCCTCCCCCATTCCAATCCATTCCGATCCCCCCTCAGTCCTGCTGGCTGCTGTTTGTGCTGCTGCATTTTGCTTCTCTCCCCCGCTACTTTCTGACTCATTGATCTATATTCATTAACATTCATTTTTGGAGAAATCCTCTACAACATCTCCCCCTTCCCCGCGCCAACTGTCCTCTCGTCCCCGTCTACCTCGGGTTCAGCTCCTTAGACCCTCACTATCGTCACCACCACCGATCCCTTGGATACTGACCCCGGGCTCTCGATATCGCTTGATACCTTCTTGATTTTGCGTCCTATGCAGCAGCCATAGACCTCTTTTTGTCCGCCACATCGACCGTCGAGCCCCGAGAGGGCCCCTCCTCCGCCCCTCTCCTCCCCCTGATCCGATCGCTCCCGCAACATGTCCTCCCAACAACCAAACCCTGCCTCGTACCAGAGTCATGCGGCGCCTCATCTGCCCATCCCCGTCTACAATCCGGTAGCGGCGATCGCAGCCCCCGCGGGGACCTTTCTACCCGGGACCAAAGTTCAGGTTGGCAGCCATCGCGTGGTCGTCGAGAAATACCTCTCCGAGGGAGGCTTCGCCCATGTCTACGTCGTGCGCCTACCCCAACCCGTCGATGGCTCCGATCGCGCAGTTCTCAAGCGCGTGGCGGTCCCGGATAAGTCGGCCCTGGCCAACATGCGCACCGAGGTCGAAACCATGAAGAAGCTCAAGGGGCATCGGCACATCGTCACCTACATCGACTCCCATGCGTCACAGCTCCGCGGTGGTGGATACGAAGTGTTCTTGCTGATGGAGTTCTGCGATGGCGGCGGTCTGATCGACTTTATGAACACGCGGCTGCAGAATCGCCTGACCGAGCCCGAGATCATCAAGATCTTCTCCGACGTGGCGGAAGGTGTGGCCTGCATGCACTACCTCAAGCCCCCGCTTCTGCACCGTGATCTCAAAGTGGAGAACGTCCTGATCTCGCGCCAGGGCAGGGCGGCCCTCTACAAGCTTTGCGACTTTGGATCGGCCGCGCCCCCTCGCCCGGCCGCCACCTCCGCCGCCGAGGGTCGGTTGATTGAAGATGACGTCCAGCGCCATACCACCCTGCAATACCGCAGTCCCGAGATGATTGATGTCTATCGGAAACAACCGATTGACGAGAAGAGCGATATCTGGGCCCTGGGGGTCCTCTTGTACAAGCTGTGTTATTATACCACCCCGTTCGAAGAGGTTGGCCAGATGGCGATCTTGAATGCCAGTTACAAGTTCCCGAGTTACCCGGCCTTCTCGGAACGCCTGAAGATGCTGATCGGTAGGTTCCCCGAGCATTGTAGTGATGGCCGCGCTAACCCAGCCAGCTTGGATGTTGAAGGAACTTCCGCAGAAGCGGCCGAATATTTATGAAGTGGTGCGCGAGGTCTGTCACATGCAGGGCAAGGACGTCCCCATCGGTGATGTAAGTACTGCGGTTACCTGTCACATTGCTTGTCCTAACAACTCGGACAGATCTACGCTGCTCGCTCCACATCGGAAGCCCGCCGGTATCAGGAATTACCGCCCTCTCCCACCGAGGCGCCACAGGTTGGTGCCGTCTTCTCTCCGCCGGTCCAGGAGACTCAGATCATTCCTGAGATCGCGCCGATGCGCCGCGGCCGTCCGACGAGACCGACGCAGTCCTCGCACCACTCGGCCAAGCCCAGTCCGTCCCCATTCCGGGGCTCCGGGGATCCTTTCTCCGTCCTTGACAATGCCCAGCGTCCCCGCGACTCAGCGGACGAATTTACCAACCGTTTCCCTTCGTTGGATCAATTCCAGATTTTGCACGAGAAGGGGGGTAAGTTCGACTTTGAGTCTGCCGTGCCGGAGTCTAGTCCGGAAGGTGATGACCTTGCGCGGCGCCTCACCAATGCGCTGGCGGACGATGCCTTTGCCAAGCACCAGTCGCCGGGTCCGGAGGGATCTACCAGCCAGCGTCCCACGCAACCTCCGTCGACCCAATCTGCTCCGGTCGAACGCGTCGAGAATGCGCGCGATGAAGGACGCGCCTCGGTGCCGCTGTACCAACCTGCCCCGCAGCGACCTACTATGGTCTCGACTGGTACGATGACCTCACCGCCGCCGACGCCTGGTGTGGCCGATTACAAGCCGTCTAGTCGCCCTGTTTACAAGTTCCCCCCGGCCGACCATCAGCGACGCCCATCCAGCCACAAGCAGCCATCAGAGTCGGACCTCAAAGCCAAAGCTCCATCGCCGTCCATGAACGCCGTGGTCCAACCTCGAGGGTCCTCTGATCGGATCTCGGATTTGTCGGCGTCACCCCGACCCTCCCTCGAAGGCGGCCGACCCAGCAATCTGGAGGTGGGCGAGCTGGCAGGGCGTTCGCGCTCGGCCAACGGTCGTTCCCGCCCAGTGTCGGTCCATGCTGGGGCACGATACGACCTACCCCGTGGGTCGGAGAGCGCGCGCTCGTCCCTGGATCTGCCCCGGTCGCCCTACTATGAGGGCGGGGCACCGTTGCAGCATGCGCGGACGGAGGCGGACTCGCTGGCCAACATCTCGTCGGACGTGGACTATCTACGCGCGCGGGAAGAAGAAAGCAACAAGAAGCGCGACAAGCGGTACAGTGGTACAGCCAAACACGGCAAACGGTCGAGCTTGTCGACCTTGTCGCTGTCCGGCACCAAGATGTTTGCGGGGCGGTTCGGCGACGCCTTTCGACGGTTCGAGCACAGTAACTCGGAGAGCAAAGTGCAGTCACCCGTTACCGAAGAGGCACCCAACAAGTCTCCGATGATGCTCACGAGTGCGGATCTGACCTCGGAGCCGGCCAGCGAGCTGATCGACATGGACGGCAACGAGGATATCTCGCCGGAGATGCGGCGGGAGCTGGAGCGGCGCCGGCTCTCCCAGGAGGAGAAGCGAGTCGCCAACGCGGCCGCCGAGTATCGGAAACGGGTGACTGAAGGCGGACAGCCTGGGGCTGGGGCTGGTGGGTGGCGCGACGGGCCACGGTCGCAGGCGATCCAGAACAAGGTGCAGTCACTCTTAGGCGAGTCGGCCCGGGCTCCTCCGCCGCCCAAGACGGCGACGGGCTACGGACGATACACGGACGAGACGGCGGGGGCTTTGCCGGCAAAGCCTACGGAACTGCGGTCGAGCCGGGCGAGTGCGCCAGCCGAGCAGCCGACGAGCATTGGCAAACAAGCTACGGCCAGCGGGCGACCGGGGTCTTCGTCGGGGGCACCACGTCCGGCGCTGCCGCCCAAACCGAAGAGTCTGCGCATGCCCACGGGGACGGAAGGCCAAGCGGGCAGTCAGGATCGGAGTCCCACGGTGGCGGCGACGCCAGCCAGTGCGGGCGGGGAGGATTGGGAGGCCAACTTCAGTCGGCGGTTTCCGAGTCTATCGGGATTAGAGATGGAGACGGAGATTGAGTTGCCGCGGGTGGCTCCTAATAGTCTACGGACAAAGGAGGTATAGTTGGTCGTTGGTATACATATATGCTTAGAGCGTGGTTGTGAGCGATGTGAGCGTGTGAGCTATAATTGTATCGGTGGCGTGGATAGACTTGTTCAAAGCTAATAACTTACTGCTGCATATGATTTCTAGAGGCTGGAGTCGTTTCGATGGATCGATTGTTGAGACATTATAGATCAGATTGATTGTATATTCATAGATTGTTGCTCGGGCACCGGGGGCGGTGGATATCCCGAAGCGGTTAGCGCAATTCTTCCGTACTTCTCCTCTTGTCGTGGTTTGGTTTCTTTCTCCGCACCACCTCCGAGACATTTCAGCTTCTCATCACCAAGCACTCATCACCATGGCCCCAGTAACCCTCACCACCGTCGACCGTACGTTCTTACTCAATGCATCACATTACCGTATACTAATGTATCCCAACCCCTCACAAACAGATGACCTAAAAGAAATCATTCAACACCTATTCGAGATCCAATCCGCCGTCCACGGGTACCTCGGTCCGGAGACCCAACAAGAGCTCGTCCGGAAGATGTACGTTGTGCCGTTTCCCTCTCCCTCCCCCCCCCCCCTTTCAACCCAAACAACCCCTAATACTAACTCCCTCGGCAAAACCAGCAAAAACCTCACCCTCGCCCTCCAAACCCTCCAAACCCACACCGCCCCCACCAACCCGGACGCCACCTCGACTGCCAGTAACAACCCGCAGGACCCTCCCCTGGGGAGCGTGCAGCTCCCGCCGGAGATTATTGATTACGTCGACGCGGCGCGCAACCCGGACATCTACACACGCGAGTTCGTGGAGCTGGTGCAGCGCGGCAACCAGGACCTCAAGGGGAAGAAGGAGGCGTTCCGCGGATTTCGGGACGTGCTGGCGCGGGAGATCCGCGGCGCCATGCCCGAGTGTCGCGGGGAGGTGAGGCGGGTGTTGGAGATGACGGGGGGAGAGGAGGAGTGATTTTTTGGGTTGCATTAATAGGAAAGCTGGGGGGCGTTGTTTTTTCTTTGTTGGTTTTAAGGGGAAAAGGAGGGTTTTTGTTGTATCGTGTTGCGAGCTTGGGTTTTCAATGTGGATGGCGTTGCTGGGGGTTTATGTCATAGCGTTTCAGAGTTCGGGAGTATTGGTTTCTCAAGGCTCACTGGATGATGCATCAGGGTCAATAAATGCCGATCAATTAAATGGGTGAAGCAGCAGGCAGGCAGGCAGGCAGGCAGTGCTGGGGCTGGAATGATACTACTCATAATCCATCTGAACCAAAAATAACCCTTACGTATCCGAAAGGTGAATGACATTTCCAGGTCCACGTGTTGCCGGCGGACGCAGGGGATGATCGCATCGCGATTGTAGACACAGAGCTGGGAATGATATCAGTTGACAAGTATGTGTAAGATAATGAATACCAATTAATAACCAGTAATATATCGACTACGCCGCCAATCAAGGGAGTGACGAGTCGAGTGGAGCTGTCTTTTTCTTGTCTGTCCTTGTCTGTCCTTGTCTTTTCCCCGCGTTTGTTTGTCGGTCAATCTGGGCCTAGTAAAGGATGACTGCATAAGTTAGTACTTAGTATCTTCTCGTGACTCGCTGCCTGTTCTTCCTCTCCTCTCCTCTCTCTCTCTCTCTCTCTCTCTCTCTCTCTCTCTCTCTCTCTCTCTCTCTCTCTCTCTCTCTCTCTCTCTCTCTCTCTCTCTCTCTCTCTCTCTCTCTCTCTCTCTCTCTCTCTCTCTCTCTCTCTCTCTCTCTCTCTCTCTCTCTCTCTCTCTCTCTC